CTATTAATTATCTGCGAGCGCTTTCGACAGCTGGTCGTACTGTCATCTTCTAGGCACTCTAGTGCCTGTTTCTATACTTTTGAATAGCAGTTGAGTATACATATCAGTCTATAGTTTTCTATACTATGCCTGTCTCATTTTTTAAACACAGATAGTTTTTGTGATTTTTAATTTCTTTGGAAAGTAACCTTCAATAACTGATAGGTTCACAAGAGTGGCCAATTCACTTGCCATTTCTTCAACACAGTCTTTCACGGCACTGCTTCCTATGTAATAATTTAACCAAATATAAACTAAACCTTGAATACCATTATATGTATTATTTTTAGTGGACTTTCATGGTCCAAATTCTTTCTTTAGGTCTAATTAATGAACTTAACGTTTGTTGTTCGAATCTAAATCTAAATGAAATTGGATTATGGCATCTAATACCGTCCCACTATTTTTTTCGTAATCGGTATTGCCCATCACTTAATAATTTTTACTCCTCAAGATTTTTATACAATCTACATAATACTGATTTCTCAATAATTTTAGCTTAAACTGGTAAAAACTGAAATTGTTCTATAATTTTTTCATTTTATTTTAAATGATGGTTTTTACTTTGTCAATTTTTGCATTATAAGGTATTAAACCTGCTGAAAAAAAAATATTAGTTTACTTATCAGTGGTGCTGATTATGATTTAAAAATTTTATTGATGATTCTGTCAAATTCTATTTGAATTATTCAAAACATCTTAACAAAGTTCAAAAATAAATCGAAGCAAAGAAAAACTGCAGTTTATAGTTGATTTTTATTAGTTCTGCGGATTGAGGCAGATAAGTATTTGTGAAATTATTGGCTAATTTTTTTGTAGGCAAAATTATTTAATACAAGTTTACTAATAACACGTTTTTAAGAAAAATATGTGGAATTTATGCAGTAACCTAGCAGAGTGAACTTCATTATAAGTTTAATTTTTTTAATTTGGTGGTAGGTGAAAAATTCACAAAAAATTATTTTTATACAATATTACCACAATTATTTTTGAGAATTGGAGTTACTCATTTTCTCATTACTATTTAGACTGTCAGGTTTTTTACAGGTTAAAATTAATAATAATCGTAAAATGGTCAATGGCCTGTAAAAACAACTAGGTATATCCATTGAAAACACTTTTTGTTTCGGGAAACATTATACTTGAAAAATGATTCCAAAACATATCAACTCACAATAATAAAAAACATCAAAAAATAACAGATCTAAACTAAACTCAACCTCAATGAATAAAATTCTGCTATTAAATCACTCTAGTTTCAAATTTTTCGGAGGAATATAGTCTGGATCCCCATCATCTGCAATGTCAATAACTGAAGATGGTCTCTTTGTTATCGAAACACCTACACTACTTCTATTGAATGCCATATCAAGTCTCTCCCCAGAATTTTTTGGAATAATCTTGATATTTTTAATATCTGACGTTGATAAATTTGGTTTGGGTACTGCTGTAGCCTTAATTTCATTCTCCAAATCAATCAGTTCTACAGCAGGTGGTGGTTCGGTTCTTGGTATGTGACCTTGTGCACTTAAAACTTTTTTAACTGTGATTTCTGGGGATAAACATTGTATTTTTGAGTTTGCTTTCAAATCATCAACATTTTTTTTCGAAGACAAAATTATTTTAGTATATTTTTGGGCTGGTTTATTGAACGATAATGGAGTAGGTTTCCTTATGCTTGGTGTATACACGAAACTACCTTGACTAGTCGGCTGCTTATTTATCACCATAAATTTAGCAGGGGTTACTGTTTTTGGACCCATTGTGGACAAAACGTTAGAAGTTGATGTGGGAATACTGGTTGTTGTGCTGGCTAAACTGCTAGGTAGGTTTGTGTCCAGCATCTGGTTATCATCAGCAAATATGATTGGTAAATCCATGATATCTTCGGTGGTTAAATTTGTAGGAGGTGGCAAAGAACTTTGAACATTTGGAGGTTGTGCGAATAAGGAATTCTTGACTGGACGAGGTGGTTTTTGAGTCATGAGCTGTCGTTTCGCAGTGATGAATTTAGTTCCTAAAAGAAATAATGTGAATTGAGAACTCTCGAACCAAGAAATAACTTTTATTTGGACAGTGATACCGCCAAATCTGCTCCATATATAATTTTTTTTCAATAAATAGATTTTTTGGCTTTGCAGTTAGCTTTTTCTCCATAAATCATTTACATGACATGNTTAAAGCCAGGTCATAATATATATTCATGCAGGGTAAAACAAAAGTGTGGAATAGAAAATTGCCAAAAATTCCATAACAACATACTTCACAATCTTGATCATAAAAGTAAGGCGGCGGAAGGTTCAGTGAATAATGTTTCACTCTTGAACAAGGACGACGATCCAGACATTCATGTGGAAAAAATTAACTTTTTTCAAGAAGAAAATCCTACAATACTAGGATTAGACGGACCTGTAGAACCACTATGCTATCAGTGGCTCGACAACGTAACAAAAAATGAAGAAAATTCGAAGAAGGTGACTTTAGAGCTATCTGGAATAGAAGAAAACTCAAAAATGTACAAAATAAATGAAGTCAGAACAGTCAGCGGACTTTCACTTCCAAAGCAAACAATTGGTGTGGGAAATATGAGTAAAACCTACCCATACACCAAGGAAACGTCAGTTCTTTCTTTTTATGATGCCCAACCAACTATTCTTATTGGCCAAGACCAATGTGCCTTAACAATTGCCAGGAAAATTTATCAGAGTTATTGGATGCGCCTTTTGTTTCTAAAACTCTACTTGGATGGGTAGTACAAGGAAGATATCCACGAAGAAAGGTTCTTGAGAATTCTCTGATATTTCACGTTTGTTGTAAGTCTCAAGAAGAAGCAAATGAAGATATCCACAAACTGGAGAAAGATTCATTTAGAATTGAAAATTTTGGAATAAAATGCATAGAAGAAAATGGTAGATCTAGAGAAGACGAAAGATCTTTGAAAATCATGGAAAATACTATTCAACGAGTTGGTAATCATTTTGAGATTGGGCTCCTATGGAGAAACGAAAATGTTACATTACCAGACAGTAAACCTGTAGCACTAAATCGCCTCAAATGTATGGAGAGGAAAATGGATAAAAATAAACAATTTGCAGCTGACTACTGTAGAAAAATTGAAGAATATACTCAAAAAGGCTATATTCGAAAGCTGAGCGTTACTGAAGCTAAAAGAGTGGGCCAAAAAACTTGGTAGTTACCACATTTTGGAGTGGTAAACCCTAACAAACCAGGCAAGCTGAGATTGGTATTTGATGCCGCAGCAAAGTCGAGTGGAACTAGCCTTAATGATCATCTTCTTCAAGGTCCAGACTTGTTAAAAAACTTAACAGCAATGTCGTACTAACCGGACGACGCACAAAATGGATTAATTTTGTGGTAGTAAATTGTACATTAGTTTATTAGTCTTTCATTCAGCTGTTCGCACATATGCTTCATTTTAATAGTTCTTAAATATCCTAATTTACAAGCATATGTACAAAGTCTGTTATTTGAGTTTGTTTTTGACAAACTTCTGTTCGGTAATAAGAATTTCGTAGAGCATGATGAATTCGCGACAACATTGTTTTCATAACATTATCATCCAAGTTAGTCTGAACAAACACGTTGAACGTTTCCGCAGCCTTCGGAGCTTCAGACACACTCAAGGTTGGATAAATTTCCTCTGGTACGGCATCATCACCATCATTATCTTTGCTATTCGCGTCGTTGGCGTTTTTACGAAAATGTGATTTCAAAGCTCGAATAATCCCTTGGTGCATGGGTTGCAACAATGATGTTGTGTTTGGAGGCAAAAACACCAGCAATATGCTTTTTAAGTCTGTAATATGGGGATGTGCTCTTGTAGCAGAGGTCCATAAAGGAGTATTCTCCGGTCGCGCTGAAGCTTGAACCACTGTAACAATGCCTTATCCAACTGTATTTCAAGAAATTGGCATTAAACAGCGACTCGATTTTATCTTTTTTCTTTTTAATTGTGGATATTGTAGAATGGGATACGCCAAACTCCTTTGCGAGGTCTGCATTTGATTCAGCGGCTTCTAATCAGTGCAATATTGCACTTTTTTCTTCAATTGCAAAACACTTTCGCTTCAAAGAATTCATTTTGTCGAACTTTATGGACTTACAACAAGTGACAAAGACTTCACACTGGAACCTTTGGCGTAAAATCAATCTATTAATATCTGTTAGTAGTACCTATCAATAGAGGATCCTAAGAATACTACCTGTTAGTAGTACCTATCAATAGAGGTTCCTAAGAATCCTACCTGTTAGTAGTACTTATCAATAGACATACCTAAGTAGAGGGAGTGCTCCGAGGGATTGGTGCGCAGATTGTGTAAACAAAACATTGCGCGACGTTTTAACCGGATGTATTATCATGAAAAACGGTCGCTTTAAGCGGTTGGTCGCCTAAACCGGAGTCGCACTAAACGGTATATTTTCTCAGTAACTAAATATGAAACTAAACTTAAGTGAACGTTATCGTCGCTGTAAACGGATAGTCGTTATGAGCGGAGTCGTTATATATGAATTTTACTGTAATACTTTCATAAATCAGAGAATGCTCAGTCAAAGTGAATTTTGGAATAGATAAGTAAAGCATATGGTTCTGTCTGGTGTTGTGACAATTTGTTCCGGGAGTGTACATGCTAGTTTTATTTTTATGAATTAAGAATACTGTTTCCATTATGTATAAACAGGTGACAGTTAATATTTTGTGGCTGATGAATAAAGGCTTGCAATGATCTCTCGGCTTAGACTTTGTAAGGTATCTCAAAGACCTCTTCTGTAGTTCAGATATCGTATTCTGTAACTGTAAATTACAATAGCTCCAGAAAGCTATTCCATAGCGAATATGAAATTCGATCAGTGCAAAGTAAGACATTATAGCTGTATTGTACCCTAGTTCATTTGATATCACTCTAATAACATAACACCCACTAGATACTTTTTGACTCAGATGGGATACATGTTCTTCAAAAGTTAATTTATTGTCTATGTGAATGCCTAGAAATTTATGGTGCTGTTTGTTTTCTATGTAGTGGTTATCTAAATCGTCTAGTATACATTTGAAAGTAACTAGTTTTGTTTCGTTTAGGTTGAAGCACAAGGAGTTCACGTTACACCAGGCTTGAATTTGTTGAATACCAATTTTTATCATATTTGACAGCTGATTAATTTATTTATTACTCCATGTAATAGTGGTATCGTCGGCAAATACAGTAAATTGTCCTGCGATGTTAATGGTTATTAAGTCATTTAAGTATATTAAAAACAACATTGGTCCTAAAACAGAACCCTGAGGTACTCCATGTTTTATGTCGCTGAGATCAGACTGTCCACTTGATGTTTTCACATCCTGTCGACCTCCTGTCAAATATGAACCAAACCAGTTCAAATTTGTTCCTCTTATACCATAATGGCTGAGCTTCCGCAGCAGTGTCTTATGATCAACGCAATCGAAAGCTTTCGAGAAATCACAAAACACTGCTACAACAGCCTTGCCATCATTTATGCTAGAGTATGCATTTTCTAGAAAGGAGAAAATGGCATCTGTGGTATTTTTCGTACTTTGAAAACCGAACTGGGCTAGATAGCACATTGTTCATTGATAACAAGGATATTAGTATTTTTTTCACTAACCTTTCAATAATTTTTGAAAGGGTCGATAATGAAAAAATGGGCCTGAAATTTGAGTTCTCCGCCCTTATGTTATGGAATAACCATAGCTATTTTGTAACATGTGGGAAACATACCATACCTGAATGATTTATTAATGCATTCAACCAAAACATGTAATGCACATAGAGGTAGATTTTCAAATTTTTTTACAGACATTCCATCCATACCTGTCGAATTTTTATTTTTGATTTCATTCATTATCTGTATAAGCTCATGTACATCCGTATCTGTAATAATAAAGTTTTTAACAATCTTGTTTCCTATACTAGTTTGTAGGGGTTCCTTGTTGGATGTTTGTCACATTCTTCTAGTCATAATTTAGGCTGTCAATAAATTGTTTGTCCCCTGCTATCCAGTGCCTTACATTCGTATAAAACATAACAAGCTATCTCTGTTCCCTTGTTGCATTGCCTGCAGTTAGGGGTCTTCGTTATAAAGTCCTAATTTTTATCCTTACAATAGACAGTGTCCAGTAGGAAGCTCTGTAATAATTATTCTGACTGAAGAAATGACTGACCGATTTTCCCAGGTTTCAGAATGAAGGTGGCCACTATCAGTTTCCATGTTTTTGGTATGTAATCCAGAGCAAAAAACTTGGTCCAAGGATAACACACAATTTTTGAAGTAGAAGGCCTATTTGAAAAGTGAACATGACGATTTCTCTGTAACGTATCGTCGAAAGATAAATCCAATTTATCAATGTCAAAGGCATTTGACTGCTTGAATCACGAGATACTTATAAAAAAACTAAAACTATGTGGTATAAGAGGAAACTCACTGAAATGGATTGAATTTTACCTAACAGATCGCCAACAAATACTAACTATTAACAAACATGGTCGAACATACAAATCTGAGAATGCGGCAGTGAAAGTAAGAATACCCCAAGGAAGCATTGCGGGTCCCTTGTTATTTTTTATCTACATAAACGATTTATGTTATCATTCAAAAAAACATAATTCAATTACAGTCTTTGCTGATGACACTATTAATAGGCCGTGAAACATACCGTGAAGTAGTAAAAACAGGTACGGAATGGTTCACTAGGAATAGGTTAATTTTGAACGAATTTAAAACTAATCTTATACTCTTTAGAACTAATCAATTACAGATAGATCGACCTCAAAATTTGAATATTGAAAACATTACTATAAAATATTCAGAAGACCCCAAATTTCTAGGACTTCATATTGATGAATTCTTGAAATGGAACAAACAGATTGATTATACAGCAAACAAATTGAGCAAAATTTCGTATGGACTAAGGGTGGTTCACAAATATCTCAAAAAAGAATCAGTAAAAATTTTATATTTTTCCATATTTCCTTGCAGAACAGATCTATTAAGTCCATAAGCTTGCATTCTCGCTGAAAAACACTGCTATTGAGACAAACATTGATTCTGACTTTCACTATAACATGCTTGTGCACCAATAATACGAGGTATGTTCAATAAATAAGGTGAATATTCATTTGTTTCAAAAAATAATTATTCACTCATCAATTTCGTTTTTTCAACCCTCGAAGAAGTTCTGATATGCACTTTGTGGTATGTGCTTGAGCTCTCTCAGTGATTCGGTTTTTATCAACTAAATCGTCGCAAAACGCCGTCCTTTCATAAATCTCTTCAAACTTGGGAACAGGAAAAAGTCGCAAGGGGCCAAATCTGGTGGATACTGTAGCTGAGGTATTGAATTGTTTTTCCACAATACCAGACGTTTTCTTCGTATTGCTTCTCGCAAGTGGCGCATAACTTCAAGATATCTCTAATTGACCGTACGACCACGTGTCAAGAACTCCTGATGCACTACGCCACGGTAATCGAAGAAAACAGCGAGCAAAACCTTGACATTGGATGAACTTGGCGTGCTTTTTCTTTCCAAACCACTGAAACTGTGAACATGTGTTCGAGACGAGTGTACCAACATAAAATAATTTAAAAAATGCCAATCGAATGTACGTACCCCGCGAAATTTGAACATTTTTCTTATTTTTTGAACAGACCTCAAAAGTTTTGAGCATGCAACAGATCTATGAATTTTTCCCTTTCCTTTTCCATTATACTTCATTTTTACCGAACTAATAGTATAATATTTGTACTACAACCTCGTCTATGCAAAATTTGAAAATTTTAAATTTCATAACTTGAATTCGTGGTAATATAAACAAAATGAAATATCCAACTCAGTTACAGCCCTTAATCACAACTGTATTATTTATTTATGTTCTGATATCACACAGGAAAAGGACTTTCAAAATGGATAATGTTTTAGTTGGTGAAAAACATACCAAGAAATTATTGTTATAAATTGTTTTCTAATGAACTTAATAAATAGAGCGAACTTTGATGAACCATGCGTTATTTAGTGTAACAGTTGTATTTCTTATTGCAGAATTGCGGGTGCACTAAAGGGGAGGCTGCAGTCTCCCGCAGTGAATTATAAGTTATGCAATTTATACCAAAACATTAATTTGTATAGTGAAAAATTATTTAACCACGACACTGCTTGTACGACATTCTTGATGTTTTCAAAATGTTTATAGGTTCTTCTTCCGTTTTTTTTTTCGTAGAATTTAAAAATAATACCAAGGATAAGAGAATGCCGATAAAACACAAATCACTATTGAAAATGGCGGCGTAGAAGCAATTTTCTCCAAATTCAATATGGCGGCACTATGATGTCATTATTCTATGGAAATATTAAACAAGTTGATGTAGTGTAGTAGGAACTTACTTTTTCACTCGCACGGAAAAATAAACATCTTTGACATTTTTTGTAATAAAAGAAATACACTTCAATGTTACAGATTGAAAAAATAACACTTTCTATTGAGATTTTAGAGATAAATTAAGTGAAAAATGGCATTCAAAAAATACGTAAGAAGTATGAGTAAAGGGGAAAATTTATTATCATAGATGAATAATACTAGCTGTAATATGTAGAGGCACGGCAATGGTAAGATGCTAAATTTTTTAAATAGTGGTTTACAAGAGTCCAGTGGACGAGACTTGTCCATACATTGAAAGACTCTGAACCTTAAAAATGCAGTCAGTATATGCAGAGTTACCCCAGAAGGACAATCCATACTGCAGCTATGATTGTACCATTCCATGATATATGAATTTTATAACTTCAGTAGAGACAGTGTCTCGCAGATTCCGAATTGCGTAGTTTGCACTGCCAACCTTTACGCATATATGCCTCCCACATTAGCTTTTGATCCAGGAGTATTCCTAAAAATATACCTACCTGGCAATATTCCAGAGTTTCACCACACATATTGATGTTGTTCATTAGATCTGGATTTGAGGTACCGTTTTTGGGTAAGAAATTGATAAACTTGGTTTTCTTTATATTGCCGACAAGGTAATTGTCGCTACAGTATTTACTGAATTCATCACATGCATAATTACCCAAGTTTACAAGACTTTCGTTTTTATGCGCTAGGAGTATATTTGTGTCATCAGCGTAAAGTACCATTCTATTTGGTGTGGTACACGTATCGTAGATGTCATTTGAAAATATAAATTGGCCCCCTGGGACACTCCTAACTCAGCACTTTTACAGTCAGATTTGCTATTATTTATTACTGTCACTTGCGTACAATTTGTCAAATATGATACTATCCAATCATGTGGAAAATCACGAATTCCTATGCTGTATAATTTACGAAAGAGAAAGTCATGGTTAACCGTATCAAATGCAAGAGTTAAATCATATAATATACCTAGTACATTCTTCTTGTTGTTAAGCTGTTCATAGATAAAGTCGAGAGTTTGCTCAATAGCCATTGAAGTTGATTTAGCTTTCCTGAATCAGTTTTGGTTATTAGAGATGATATTGTAATGTTCAAAGTAGGAGATCAGTCGGACAAAGTAGGTAGCTTCAAACGCTTTGGAAATTTGATTCTGAACACAAATAGCGTGATAGTTTGCAGCATCATGTTTGGAACGGTTATTTTTAAATATTGGAATATATTTTGATTGTTTTAGCTCCGGAAAGATACCTCTTGAAAATGACTTGTTTATGAGATATGCCAGTAGTTCAAAAATTAAATCCACAACTGATCTCAAAACTCTTCCATTAATGTCATCAATTCCTGTCTTTGAGGTAGTTTTATAAAGATTGTTCTCAATTCATCTGGCGTTATAGGCGTCATTGAACAATGAACATATCAAAAATACAAGGAACTAACCAAAAATGTTATTCGACTACCCATATTTTTAGAAGAAATAGAGGTAAATTTGGTTAGCATAGAATCATCTATGGATTTGAAACCTTATCCAGAAGGAAGTTATTGAAAAAATGAAGTATAATGAAAAGCAATTATATTTACATCCATTTGTTGAAGATTACCCGTACAATTGAAAAGCTGGCATTCTGGTGTATTTATTATTGCTGTGTTTTTCACAAACAGTGCACAAAAACACAAAATAAGACTTGTTCTCCCAGAAACTAACCTGGCGTTGTTGATAAACTTTTTAAAGGTGATGTTGTTGGTGTTTTATCTGAGCTGACAACTGGTTTGAGTGTTTTTATTTTTTTAACGCTAGGGTCAGTGGTTTTTGGAAAGTGTTTATCAGGCTGAGAACTATCAGTAGAAGATGTATCGGGTGTGGGAATTTTGGGATAGGGAGGTGGAGGACTAGGAGTAGGAGATGAAGGACGCGTGTTACCTTGAGCCATTTGCTGGGCCCATTTCGCTTCAAGACCAAGACGGTTTTTTGTTTTTGATCCTGGTGGTCGACCAACTGAAAAAAAAATCTACATTAAAATCAATTTTAAAATTTTATTCATTAAGCAGAAATTATTTATAAGATCCATTTTATATAAAGGATATTTTATTGTAAAAAAATTATCCGGAATATGGAGTAAATTCAAAATAAAATGAAGAAAAAAAGTATATACGAAATACAAATAATTTTTTTCAGTAAATTTATATCATAATCTTTTATGAATGTGTTAGTTTCTTATATTAACATGCTGTTGGGGTGATTATTACAAATCGGTTTACGTTACAATTTACCATAATTCAAAAAAATGGCTGCATTAGAACATTAACAAAATTATATTTCATTTTTGTCAGCGCACATTGTAGTAGATTTCTTGAATGCTCTTAGCGTAGCAACTATACCCCCCACTGAATAGTTCAGATTTGAACCTTTACAATCTTTAGCTCTACATTGATGTCAAGTTTTCACTCAGGGAACAGATATTCAAGATCAACTCAACAAAGCTGGAGAGGAGTCTGAGAAAAATTGACTCCCGTTTGTGTTTAAAAAGTGATAGGAATGGTGAAAATAGATTAATAGCATAAAGAAAGTTTACTACGAGAAACGGAATGTATATTTGGAAGACTGATAAAAATTTTTTAGACTGTTTTTTGTCTTGATTTTGTAGGCACACTGGCTCAAATTATACACATTATCAGGAATTCAGGAAAATATTCCAACGTTTTCAAAAAACCTTTTATTAATACCAGAATTTTTTTTACTCATTTTATAACTTGCAAACCGTACAAAACTCAGAATTAGCTACAGTTCAGACACTTTTGAATCCGAACAGGTACAACCTAGTATCAAACAAACCATTAATTTCTGTAGTAAAATACTGACTGCACTTTAAAGATTGACCTAATCGAACTCTGGAACACAGGCTTACACCTAAACACAATTTTGTTCAATTGACCATATTCGATAAGGAATAGGTGGTGGCCGGGTTTTATATTTCATTGTTGTCACCAACGAATTTGTGCCAATTCTTTCAATTCCATTCTAACCCATTAGATGGCGCCACATAAACTTTTTGTAATTCAGTTGAAAAATTGATCAGGAACAAGTGGTGGCCAGGTTTTATATTTTGATTAGAAGTTTCTAATAAATGAAAAAGTTCAAATATAAGAAAAATGTCTGAATTGTTATTACTTATGATATTGACAGGTATGACGGAAATCATATTAGCCAACAATGAAATATTAAACCTAGCCATCACTTAATTCTCGTCCAATATGGTCAATTCAAATAATTTTTTCCATATTAAATTGAAATTCATTTGCAAATTCCATTCTGAATATGCAAAGATAATGATAATTCTGAGCAAAATCCTATATTCTGTACATTGATTTTCTTTAAAAGTTAATGCACCTCTAATTTTGAAGAACTGTGTACAATATTCAAAATCTTTGTTTTTTGTTGCATATAAAGCAATGTATCTAAAGATATTCACTATATTCAACTCCTGGAGTGCAAATGAATACATTTTTGAATCTGCTGGAGATATTCTTAGCACATCCTTATAAAGTGTATACCACATATTTTAATTGTACAATAATTTTAGGTTATCAAAATATAACACTTCGAAAAAAGAGTATCATCTCCGAACCATGTCACTTGAACTCGAGTTATATTGTTTTATTTCCTCTACATTTTTAAACATTGAAATAACAAATTCATGTTTGCAAGAGTAAGGGTCGGTACTTTACATCTCTGTTGAAATCATGATTAGTAAATCAGAACTGTTAAATTAACCCTGTTTAAAGTACCTATGATTAGCAAAAATCTACTTTGTGACATTGATGTTACCTTAAATTTGTGTACGGTTATATTGATAACTTTTGCAAAGGCAATTACCAAGAAAATATATTTTACAGAAATACATAGAACACCGGGTAATCAAACTGATCATTATCAAATATATTTGATTGACAATCTGTTATGCAGTTAATTGAGACAGAGCCACTTTTAAACGTGAATAATTTTTGATCAACTGGTGAAGTCCTTGAATTCAAGATTGAAAGATAATCATTGTTAAATCTAATTTAATGGAGTCATAAAGTACCAGCCCTTAGACAATTGTAAAATAGCACGCACAAATTTTTTTGGCACATTTCTTTGAGAGCTGAACCATGCAAAGTATATGATGGTGAACAAAAATAGAAACATTTGTTTTGCGTTTAACTTTTGATAAGAACAAAATAATCGAAGAGAAGTACTGTCATCAATGTATATAAAACACGTACTTCAGTTCACTGGAATTAACTTATAAATATTTTTGATAGAGCATTGTAGACAATATTTTCCTTGAAAGCCAAAGGAGCAAAATAAATGAAGAATGGTACATTCTTGTTTTGTTCACCCTCAATCAGAACGAATTGTCTTATTTGTAACCTGGTCGAGTAGTCCTAGGTTTTGGAGATGGTGGTTCACTATCCAAAGAGCTTGTGTTAGAGTTGTAGCGCTTTCGCTCAGGTTTACCTTTTTTAACTGGAATGTCAGGAGGTACATGGGTAGGAGACTGGCGGATTTGGGGAGGATATGGAGACAGGATTATGCTGCTTATGAACTCGCCTACTTCATCCTGAAAATAAGTTATGAATAGAGTTATTCTTTCAATAATTAAAGTTTTCCAACATATATCCTTTCAACTTATGAAACAGATGATACTAGAAACATTCAAATTGAATAAAAACAATTGTAACTTTGTTCAGCCTTTGGTCTTTGTAAATTTTCTCGATTTTTTTCATTATATGAAACTAAAGCTCAAAAGCAACAAATCGTTTTTCTCTTTATTATGCTTATTAATTTCCTTTGTGTAATTCTCTTATGAATGTGTCTTTTTACAACCAAATTGTCGTTTAGGGTATTATCTGAATAATTTTCTATAAAATAACCTAGCGTATTTATTATTAACAATGTAGTTTCATTTACACCATTACTTCAATAAATCTATCGTATTTGTAATAAATTTGTATCATATCTCTTTTTTCTTCATTCGTGAAAGCCATTTTTCGCCAAAAATTCAATGACTTGTACAATAACAGAATGTCATTGAGTATAACAAATTGAAAGACAAATTTAGAAACATCAAAGTCAAAGCCTATTATGATAAGAATTTTTTTTTTCAATATCTCCAATTTTTCGAAAAAGAATGATAACTTATGATACATCATTGAAAAGGTAAAGTCTGGTTCTAATCAAAATAGAAAGAATCCAATGTAGCGCCCATAACAAAAAATCAAGTTGGTGATGGTGGCTGGAAGATGAAACGTCGTAGCAAGGAAACAGTGACAATGTGGAAGTGCAATTTATTTTCGGATCCTTCGAAAAATAAAGCCAGAAAAAAAAACCATTTTCCGAAATTTCTGTTATTTCCGTATATCTCCGGATTTTCTCGGAATTTCAGAACTTTCTCAACAGAGGTAAATGCGCAACTTTGCCACAATTTAACAATCTTCTTATCTCTCATAGTTTCCGAGATACCAATGGTGATGATCAAATTTGAAACACCCTGTATATATTTTGATACTATGAATTCAGAATTACTGATAGTTCTATTTATTCTGAGATTTGACTGTTAGATAATTGACACTAAAATGTATTATCAACATAGAAAACGATTGAAGAAAAAACCATTTTATTCCAGATTTTAATTTTTGTCCAGTATTCATTTTAAATGAATACACCTAGTTATTTTTTATTGTGGTTCCCTATCCACTTAGCATGTCAAGTTTGGAGATGGTTTGTGTTTGGGTTATTAAGTATCTTGATGTTTTGTAATGATAAATTTTCTAGGTTTCTTAATAAAAATCATAAAAGCAACTTGATCATCTCAACGACAACATAAAAGTTTATACTGTTTATATAAATTAGACCTTTGTTTTCACAGAATAAAATATCATCAATCGAACCATTCTTATTATAACAAATTAATACTTCAACTTTCAATAAAAAAATTGAAATAATCTGCTCCAGTTATAAATTTCATACTTACAACAATGCATCTATCTATAACACTCTGTGTTATTCCTTCTGCATTCTTCTTCTTCTTTGTAACTCTCAAATTATCATCAGCAGAACCAACTACAATCAATCCCGTCTCTACTCTCATTCTCTCTCTTAGTTCTTCAAGATCTTCTTGCCTTAAAAAATATAGTAGAAAAATCAACTTGATACACAATATTAAAATAAGTGGTATTTTAACAAAGCACTGTACTCTAGTAGAAATTTTTATGAAAATACTCACGAGGATGTATTAGAGCATTGCCCAATAACAAACAATACTGGACATTGAAGTTCCAATAAGTTATCATCTGGTTCACCTCTACTACCTTCTGCAGTTAACAGTGAAAAACCTATACTGACAACACACATAATGTTTTCAACTTGAGCCACTTGGAGAGCCAGTGATGCACCACTGCCAAATCCCACTAAAATAATATGCCGTCCTGGATAATCCTCCCTGACATCCTGAATTTTACCTCTTGTAACGGAAAAAAGCTGGTCAAGTATGCTGGGCATGGCCATTCGATGACTAGATAAACCTGAAATCAAATTTTATATGAAAGACTAACTCATAGCTAAATACATTCCACACATCTATATAATTATATAACACTAACCAAAGTTTGTTGGAATAGTGACGACAGTAGCCAGATGAGATAGTAATTTTATCCATTTGTGTATCATTTTAGTGATGACAGGCCCTGTGGGAACAATGACTAATACTGGATTTCCAGGAAGCTTTTTTGGTTTATCCTGCATCAAACTTGAAGCTAAAGGATCCCAGTATTTCTCAAGCAGTGACATTAAATTCATATTGTTCAAAGAACCTATTCGAAGTGAAGAACTTGACGAGTACATCATTTTATCTGCAAAGGCTGGTAATTTGTATTTCAATGTCTAAAAAAACAATATTTTATGTCATACTAGATCGTTATTTTAGAATTTCACTATTTTATGGAATTGATCTAGTGTCCGACCGAAACTGGTTTTTGCGACCGAAACTTCCTTACAAGGATTATGTTTTGAGGGAAAAATAAAGAAAACGTTATTATAATCAGTCAGTCTTTATTTTTTTTATCTTTAAATCAAAACGTTATGCACTCTTCGATATTTTTACTTATTGATAATCAACATAAAAAACCCTTATTCAAGAAAAAATATTAATTGCGTCTCAAAAATACTTAAAATAGGTGAGGTGTGTAGGTGTAGATTCTTCTTTTGAATATTATTGATGGGTTTTCATAAACATAAAATTACTTATTTCAGTTGATACCTAATATCACAATAGTCACGACATGATTAGGCACGTGGAAGCGGTAAAATATCTTCGTCAATTGTATGAAATTCAACGCGCCGAACATGACCGATCACAGCGCGGGAACTCCCGAATGCAGTTTCGATTTCGGTCGTAGTTTTGGCAGGTTTGGCGCCGAAACCGAAACTAAACCGAAACCCGTTTTTTTGCCGAAACTCGACCGAAACCGAACTTTCGGTCGGACACTAAATTGATCATCAAATAATGAGAGAAAATGGAAGCGATTGGTATACAAGGTACCATAATGAAATAGATTAGAGAGTTCTTGACTGATTGTAAACAGATCATAAGGGTAGAAAATGTTTCATCTCCTGGCTATTGTTACTGCATTTGGGGTGCCACAGGGGAGTGTCTTAAGACCTCATTTCTTTCTAATTTATGATGTAAACTATTACCATTATTGTGATTTTCTTGACCTTATTGCAGATGACACAATATTATGGTAGTAACCTTCAATGTGTTATTAATAAACTGAATAAACAACAATAGTTACTCATTTCAACTCTAATAAAATGAAACTCAACATAGGTAAAACTAAGGCAACGATAATAACTAAGCCTCACAAACATAGCTTTTCTTCAACTTCTGAAGATGTCAACTTGGTCGGTGAAACACATGTCGAGAAGAGTCTTGTATTTCTGGTGATTGGGAAAAGTGCTTGTTATGGATTTATTATACACCAGAGATTCCAGTTTCACATTTAATTTTTGTATATAAATACCAACACAAATTACTTCAATCTCTTACTGGATGGCAATAGAATTGAATATTGGAGTATTGAACGATACTTGGTGAAAATCCATTCAGTTCGAATGTTCGGTACCCCAATCGGACAATATTATGATTCCAGAATACAAGAAGGTGCAGCTATTTTTGTTAAAAGCACAATTACTTTCCAGAAGCAAAATCTACTTGAGGTTAACTCTAAATTATTGAATAAAAATGCAAGTCGTGTTGAGAGGATTATTCTCTTTATTAGCGATCCTGCCAGAGTAATTACTAATACCGCCATTTGTATAGATAATACAATTACCACCCTATTGAAAACAATTTTTTCTCACCAGAACAAAAATGCTATCTCTTGTTGCACGTTTCGCTAACTACGTTAACAGTTTTCAATAGATTAATTTCACGCCAGAGGTTTCAAATTTTACTTATCAAGTCATAATTACCAACCTAAATGAGAAGGAAATTTCTGTTGTAACTTTGGAATTCTGCCTCTTATCGTTATTAGTAGAGAGTTAATCAATGTCAGCATATTAAAATTGAAAAACGGAGAACCTCACTTGTTAATTACAACACATATGCGAGACAAGATTGAAATTCCAAATCAAAATAAATCTGATTCGAGAATAAGTTTTTAAAAATGTATATTATAAACAATTAAAAAACTCGAAAAAATATGCCTACGATGCATATCTTTGTGAATCCAACAATAAATCAAAAAATACCTGCAAAATTATTAGATACAAATTACTTCCAGAGTAATTCAGTGAATTAATTAATTATTTTCAATTCAAGTACATTATTATCCAATCAGGGAAAAAATGTGTTACATGTCCCCAATTGGAAAGTGTCAAATGTAATTAAATTTTCATTTTATAAAGGATTTGATGATCTTAATAAATGAAGATCAAAGAGTTACATATCATATATGAGTTCAACAAATATATCCAGTCCATTTAACCAATATTTCTCAAAATTTAACTCTGCACACTTAAATATATTCAGTATATATCTTTTTTTTTTTGGAAATAGAGTAGTAGGTAAACTTCCCAAGCGTTTCGTCTGCTACTACGGCAGACATAGTATGTGCGTTGACTGCGAAGAACTATATCTCAAAGTCCCAGCAACAACTGCCTACCAGCCCACTTTTTTTTATCATGATTCCAGCCTATGTTCTTATTTCTATTGATGTATTTTTACATGTCAGTATTTGTTCGTTTTCAATTTGCATTATTATTGTATATATCAGGTTGTATTCTACTAAAATGAAGATTATTATTAATATATACGGTTAAGGTATACTGACGTATACCTTTTTAAATAAAGGAAAACTAAACAAAAACAGTGAGTACCACAGATACGATAAATGAAAGAAAAATGACTTTCACTTACATCCCATACTCAGATCACATCACAAAAAATCACCTCTACATGCAGAGGCATATTTATTCAACTTATTGCCTGAAAGCATGAAATCGGAAACAAAAATAAAAACTTTTAAACATAAACTGAAAAAGTTCTTAATCCAAGGAGCATTTTATACTTTAGACGATTTTATTCAAAAGTTTGGGTGATTCATTTTCATCTATGTAGTATGCATTAAATGTATTGTTTTTAATATGTATCCATCCAATATGTTTTAACTTTTGTGTGAAATTGACTATTGTTTATGTGTTTGTACTTGTTGTTTGTTTTTCATTTTTTTTTGACATATCTCATGTTGTAAGAACAAGCTAAAGAGACAAATATATTATCTATCTATCTATCTATTATTATTGTATTTCCAACTTAGTCCTAATGTTCCTGTGCCGGCAAAAAGACATTGAAAAATCAGTTTCTGATTATAAATTATTAATAACCTTCATCAAAATCCGCCACTTGAAAATAAGGTGATAGCCGTCAGGGTATAAACATTTACGTAATTAATTCCCTTGGAACATGAGAAACTATCAATATCTGTTTGAATATCATTTCAAATTTTGAATATGGTTGAGAATATTTGATGTTAAATGAGAATCAGATATGTGATGGAATTGGTCAAGTGTTTTCATACTGTCAGTATAAAACCTGTCCTGACAGACAACCTGAAAAAATGAACAGATAGTAAGATTAGAAAATCGAATAAAATAGAAAAATATAGGACCAAAATATTCAGATAAGAAAAAATATGTATAAATAAATGATATCATTCCACTGATGAGACTATTTTATAAAGTAGATTTTTGTGCAGTTTCACATTGAGTGAATCATATTCCACTTACTCAATGTCTTATTTTGAAGACTTTTTTTCCTCCTTTTATGACAAATCAAGCAATATCTTGTATTTTTATTTCTGACATTATGTTGGTACCACGGCAAATATTCATCTATTTAATTGTAATTGATAAATTTTAATTGTGATAGAAGTTTCTAGATTCAATTTTTTTGCACTGAATAAAATTAAAATTTCAATCTTCACTGTCAGATGTCGAATGGAAACAATGATAATTTGGGATATGTAGTCATAGCCACAATAAATCACCGCAGGTTGAAGTGGAAGGTGAAATAGACCTACTCACTTTGGAACATATAGCCATGGTCCAATGAAGAAACTGGTACTGAATCTGTCAAATGCATTGCTGCTAATTACTACTGGAGATGTCAAAATGTCAGTTTTTCCATTACACCAGAGCTACCGAACCCAGGTAACATGGTTAGATTCTCATTATCAGAAAGTATGGTTAGTTAATACTGTTTGTGTAATTATTTACAGTGTTTTAATATAATATGAACAATTACGTTTCAAGGATAATTTCTTGGGAAAATTCCAAATTCAGAAGTAACTCAGTTCTATTTACATTTCTGCCCTTGTCTTCCTATTCACTGACTGCAATTTGTTAGATATAACTCAGCCAATGTTCCATAATCTGATTTGAATAATAGTATTGTTGTAAATCATGCCCTAAAGAAAATAACGCAGGCCGCCACTGGTAGCCATAAACCAATTGTGACGTGGCGAAGAGCGCGCTCAGTTCGACCGACATTTCTCGGCTGTTCGCACCGAATCGATGAAAATCCCGTCGAACATTCCACCAACTTCGATTGAATTCCGAGGAATATTTCAGCGCCTTCCATTGCCAAATATAAGCGCCATCCACTCGCCCAGAGTCAAGTGGAAGTTACAGTGCGGTACTCGGAGCGATCTAGTAAGGCGATAGACATTCGAATAATAGTTGAAGTTTTAGTTGAAGTGTTTATTGTATTTAAAATGAAATGAAGTTAAGATTGGTCAACCCATGGGGACAAACATAACAGTATTCCCCTATGTAGCAGACAATCAAGAGTTTGACAGATAAAGATATTTTAAGCATAACATTTTTTTTAATCTATATCTTTTTTGGTTTTTAGTGAACATTCCATATTTAACTATGAAATTAATTAGTTCTATTGAGAAAGTTGAATATATGCCTCTTGAAGTTGAAGGTCTTTTACTTACTAAATTTCATTATAATTGTTAACTGGTTTATAAGTTTGCAGTCTCTTGTCACTGAACAACACGAGAAAAAAAGAGAATTTTTTATAGATACATTGAGTGTTCCATATACTTGACAACATCCTATTAGTTGATTCTACATGTACTTATGTAATCCAATGTAGACTTCTATGACCAGAAAATAAATTAAACTACAGTCGAAAGGAGAATAAAGTGAAATAATATTTCTTGAAGGAACATACCTGTAATATATCAAGGTAACATGCTAAATAGTGAGGGCCAAGGTTGTCTATAAGCAGTTGATGTAGCCACTGTGTGATTTTTGGGTCCCAAGTGACAGAAGCGAATAGGCGTCTCACTCTTTGCACTGCTTTATCAATCACATTTCTCCTTAATAATGGTTCATTGTGTATTCCTTTTAGAGCCAATTTTGCCAAATTGAAATTATTCAATATATTCGTCATACTACTGAATACTTTATGTTGACCGTTACTCCAATTAATCCTGAAATCAATAATAACAATTAAATACGGAATTGGAAGGAATGATGAGAAAATACTTCTATCAACCCTTATAGTTTGTTGTAATGAACAATTTACTACGTCCTCTAGGCCTCAATGGAAATGAAGTACTGAGCTATGCATACGACTCAGTAAGAATGCAGTAGGCCTTGAACCAAGACAGAGGATCTTCGACCTGGACCGAACATATAGATAGGATAAAAATAAAGGCGGCGGTAGGCGATGATGCTAGCCAAAGAAACTAACGGAAAGACATGAGAGCTGAAACTAGACATGGTGTACTAGCTCTCACCTTGAACTGACAGTAACTTATGTTCCTATGATCTGGTAGCCAAAAATAAAGCAAATGACCAATACTAACTAACTAAGCAGAGTGTGAAGACTTTCATGTTTTGGAGTTACAGGGGTAGCAATAAAAATTAGACCAACAGCACAGAAATGAACACAAATAAGTCAACGTTTTTCAGGCTTGTAACGACAGAATAATCATAACTAAGTTAAAAAATAAAAAAACTGAAGATATAAACGGTGCGAATGTTTCAGTCAGAACCAAAAAATTTTCGACAGATACCAATACTACCAGTCTCTTTAAAGATTTTTGAACATATAATTTACGAACAACTAGTACAATTTTTTGATTTAAATAATCTTCTGAGTGTTCATCAATTTGGGTTTCGGAAAGGAAAATCGACAGCTGTTGCCATACATTTTTTTACAAATAGTATAAAAGACATCTTTGACCACCAAGAAAAATATGTGAGCATTTTTACAGGCCATACTTCATCATTGGATTTTGTATATCACTCAAATTTGTTGACCAAATTAGATTTTTATACAGTGAGAGGTGTCTGTCTAGACATGATGAAGCCATACCTTAAAGAAAGATATCATGTTGTTCATCTGGGAAACAGCAAGAGTGAAAAAAAAAATATTAAGAGAAGTGCCACAAGGATTAATATTGTGGCCACTTCTGATTTATATGAACTCATCAGATATAGAAACTATATTGTATGCAGATGATGCAACCTTGAGTAAAAAAAATATAAATAGCATGTGTAGTAAACTCAGTAAGACAGTTTTTGCTATCAGAAGAATGAAAAAAAAACAGTAAATCAAAGTGCAGCACTTGCAACATATCATTCACTTTTTCATTCAGTCCTTAGAGGTATGGCATAATCAAATGGAGTAATGCATCAAAGATATGTCTTGATAAAATATTTGTCATTCAAAAATCTGCAGTAAGAAGCATAATCTCTGCCAATTACGATGAAAAGGGTTCGACCAATATTTATGAAACTTAAAATAATGACCCTATATTCAGTTATTGTTTATGAAAATCTCCTTCTTGTTCAACAGAACTTGTGAATAAAGTTGCTCACAAGGATATACACCAACACGATACAAGAAATAAATCAAACCTTGTTTCTACAGCTTATAGGTTGAAAAGAACAGATAATATAGGAATTAAGCTATACAATGCCATATATGTTGAATTTCGTAACTTGCCATTCAGAAGATTCAAAACTTATTGAAGAAAACATTAACCAAACATTCATTATATGAAACTGATCAACTTTTCGAAGTTGTTCAAGAAGAAAGAGGCACTTCTGAAGTCACCTCCTGAACTTGTACTCAACTTTAAATAGATATACTTAATATGTCAGTTATGTGATTTATAATTTGTAAAATACTCATGGCTTTATATTTTAGTCAATTTTGATAAGATTGGAATTTCACCTTATTAACTTGTATTTTTTGTAAATCTAATGTATCTACAAGCATTTTTTAGAAACTGTATTGACGAATCTTATCCTCACAAACTTATTTTAGAAACTGTATTGACGTGTCTAAAAACTGTCTTTCTGAAGACTAATAAAATTATTATTATTATTATGAGAGGAAGAAATGTAAAAGTCATACGACTTCCAAGAACAGCAAAAAATATTTTAGTAAGTAGCAGGCTTATTCTTGTAAAATGCTACAGAAGTGGCTATAGCTGCCATCGGCTACAAAAGTATAATGAACGTATGAAGACCAAATAATGACTTCAGATTGTCTAGCAAGTTGCTAAAGGAAATCTTTCAGGTATTTTTCAGTTTTTTGTGACCAATATCCTAATTTATTCTGGTTGGTTTTTGATAAATATTTCTCTACTTGTTTGTTAGTTCTCCTAAATTTATGTAGGAATGGAAACTAATTTTTGAACCCAGCCACTATGCATCTATGAAAAAGGAAATCATCAATATACTAGTTGGTTGAGCACTTAGTTTTTGTAACAAGCAAAGCTTCGATAAGGAACTGAATTATATCAAGACGGGTATTTGACAAACATTAAACTTTGAATTTGAACTTTGGCAGGAAATGACAACAATTATATGAAAAAAACTGTACAACACTAATCCACAATCAAATAAAATGGTCAAACATCATTACAACTTTCGATATTTATTTCAAAAAGTCAAAAAAAAAGCCAGGTAGCTAATACTGTTTCTCCTTTCGCCAGCATGACTTTACTAAAAATCACATCAGTTTAGTCTACGGCACAAACGTATATTCAAGAACCTCTTCAAAAATCTATTCGATATGGGAGTATCCCAATAGGGTCACCAGGGGCTGCCCTCAAGGTGGGGTACTATCTCCTCTTCTGTGGTCGCTCCTGGTGGATAGTCTGCTTGATGCCCTCGATAGAAGAAAAGTTGATCTGCAAGCTTATGCAGATGACCTTGTCATCCTGGCAAGGTCTACGTCGGGAAGGGTAGCTTGTAATATCCTCCAAAGCGCGTTGGACGTTGTTCACAGTTGGTGTCTGAGGGAGCAGATGTCTCTCAACCCCAGCAAAACTGTGGTAATCCCCTTCACCAAGAGAAGGAAATTGGACGATCTAACGCCACTTTCCCTCAATGATGTAGTCATTCCATTTGGAACGGAGGTGAAATATCTTGGCATTGTCCTTGATAAAAGACTCACCTGGAACGCTCACTTGGAAAAAGTTTTACACAAAGCAGACTGTCTCTATGGACATGTCGAAAGATTTGTGGTAAAACTTGGGGTTTAGGTCCCAAACAAATCCATTGGATTTATGTGATGATTGTCAGACCAATGATCACATATGGTGCAATTGCTTGTGGCCAAAGGCTTTACAGAAAACGGCCCAAGCGAAGCTCTCTAGCTTACAGAGACAGGCTTGTCTGGCTATCAGTGGTGCCATCAGTACCACACCATCAGCGGCCATGGAGATCCTTCTAGATCTACCTCCTCTCCACATTTTTCTGGAACACAGAATTGTGCACATTGCCAATTGCACAAATCAATTCAATGCAGAGTGCAACAGACTGTTGGTTGACATTGAAAGTCACAGCATTCTGGAAATGACCTCTGACTTTATGCCTCCAACTGTCAACTACGAACTGCCTTATAAAGTACTATTCCCGAGTAGAGAGGACTGAATCCTGCGGGAAAAGGAAATATTAAAAGCAGATAGTAGTTGGTTCACAGATGGATCAAAAACACCTTCCGGTTCTGGTGCAGGTATTTTCAGTCGCAGACCCAGGACACAGTTATCTACCTGCCTAGGAACTTATGCGACTGAATTTCAAGCGGAAATTTACGCTATTGAATTGTGTGAGGAGAGATTGGATAAATCCAAGGTCACACACAAGTCAACTAAAATATTCTCAGACAGTCAAGCGGCGTTGGAAGCTCTTCGCTCCTACCGAGCAACGTCTAAATTGGTAGCAAATTGCCAAAAAAGACTCTCCTCGGTAGGAAGACTAAACAGATTATCTCTGGTCTGGATTCCTGGCCATACTGGCCTGGAAGGCAATGAAGCTGCTGACTCTCTTGCAAAGGAGGGTGCTGCAAGCGGCTTCATTGGACCAGAACCTGTCATTGGCATCGCTTTGGGCTTTGCCAAACAAACACTGAATACCTGGATGGCAAGAAGATTTATGGACTTCTGGCAGAATCTTCCAGGATTGGCTCACTCCAAGGCGTTTATTCACCCTTCGAAGCTTGATTACAAACAGTTGTTGGACTACAGTAGGGATGAACTACGATGTCTAACAGGCCTTCTTACTCATAAAATCATGAATCATCACATGCAGAGACCTGAACTGTCGGAGGACAGTGTGTGTCGCCTCTGTCTGGAAAATGATGAAACTGCAGAGCATATACTTTGTGCCTGCCCCGCTGGGGACCCAATCAGGTTCTTTGAGTTCGGCAGATCCGTACTCTCACCATCTGACCTGAAAGACCACTCACCATACAAACTAATCGGCTTCGTTAAGAAGCTGGGCTTATTTGTCCGAGTGTGAATAGGTGTGAGCCACAATAAACCCTTATTGGTTGCGGTGGAGGGTCGAATAGACCCACTCACTTTAGACCTACCTACCTACCTACCTACCTATCCCAATAGGGTTTAAGATTAGTCCACCTACAGAACACACTAAGCTGAAAATTTGAATTTATAGAGCTACAGCAAGTCTATTAATCACTCAAAGGGGTTTCGTCTCCATTGATTATGCCCTGACAAATCTGGACATGTTTTGAAAAAAATGAAGTAGATATAAAGCGTGTTAAAAACAAAGATATAGCATGATTAGAATTACTGATTTTTTTTCATTTCTGAGTAGGTGGTGACCATAATGTTTGCTTGCATTTGAAAATTATTTTCTATGCATTGCTACAACTTACAATAAGTATTGTATCTGTTCCTCATTATATAAGTTAAACTACGATTATATGATTCCATCAATTGAACTCCTCGTTCAGCAGTATCACATAATTTTTTTTATTGTTAAGCATGTATTATAATTGTTTATCAGATTTCCATTGACCTGGATGTAATTTTAGAAATTCAGTAGGAAGTTGAAATCGCTCAAATCTTATAAATTGTTAGCCATGAAGGAATCAATCTTGACTTTTTTAATATGTACATGTTTTAAATTTGTAGTTTTGCTAGGTTTCTGATTCATTGATTCATTAATTTCAATTTTAATTTCTGAGCTTACATTATCATCAAAAAGTGATAAACAAAACAAATATGTTCTTCAGACAAACTCCAGAGATATGTTAAATTTTTTTGACGCTGCTTTTGAAATTTTCTCATTGATCATTTTATATTCCAATAAATTTTTAAAAAATTCTAAATCTTGTTGCGGATCTTGAATTGAGAAAGGCGCAGAATACCATGCTTATACATACAATAATGTTAAAAAAATACAGATATGACAGAGTCCTTGGCTTTCTACTCTGCTAAGGGAAAATTGGTCCTGGAACAGGAAAATTTTCAAGCAATAAATGTCTTTCGAAAGCCATCGTGCATGATGTGTCAGTCCAGGACTTTTAAAAGTAGTGTTTTCCATGAAGTGGTTTCCCAAATACACTGACGCTAGTTCAAGTAAAACTAGAATAAAATTGAAAATTGAAATATGCGTGACAATTTGAATTTTACTGTATTGATATTATGATTTCATAGTAACTATGGATTATAATTCATCTATGCAAAATGCCGTTTCTAAAATTAACAATTCAATAACTCTGTATAATTTATTGTAAATAATATTTAATGCAAGTCAGAAGTTCCAATTTGAAAAAAATTTGATATTACGATTATTAAGATCCACCTTTCCAACTCTACAGCTCAAAAACTGTTGCTCTTCAATTTTCTGCCAGCAGCTTTTGCCTCTTTGACTGTGAAATGTGAAAGTCTACCACTATTGTCACAAATGAATACTATCCCCTCATGAGTCGGAAAGTGATGATTGGTCACCTTTTCCATTGTGTCCATTATACGAGTTATTTAGGGCGGAAACCCCATTATTCCCCTCATAGCAATGTTATAACCATCGCAATGGGGTCATGGAATGTTGTCCAGCATTCCTATTTTGCTTCCTTAATTTTATTTATTATTTTTATTCAATATAGTCATTTCAATTTTGGTAAACCCGTTAAAATAATTAAAAAAGAAAATTTACATACTTCGATATTTTTTCATCCCAGTCTTCTTCATTTTCCATTCTAGCAGCAAAAGCATGTCTTTCACACTCTTCCATGACATTTTTGGCCTTATTTTCATCGTAGACTGGTGCAGGGATTTCAGGATTTGTAACTACATCAATTATATCATCTGCTTCAAGTGGCATAAGTGAATTAGCTGTTTTAGGTTTCTCAGGGATCAGTTTTCGAACAAACAAAGTTTTGGTGGGACGTAAAAAACTGGCATCGGGTCTCCAATTCCAGGGTCGTGCATAACAGTGATCCGTTGATACCGTCCAATTTTCTCTATCAAAGGAGTTAGTGAGTTGCGTAGGATAGGTGTATTTTGATATTTCTTCCACCACCATATTTCTTTCACAGGTTACACTCACTTAACCCAAGTTAAATTCTTACAGAAATTACGTGGTGGTTTATCAAGCTAAAACATTTCAGAAGTTAACAGTGAAACAAGTTCCATATCAATAACATAACCTAACAGAATACCTCAAAAAATAAATTTACGAGCGTCGGTGTTCTAATAAGTCTTATATGAAAATTTTAAATCATCTTGGGCTTCCGTATAATCTTCCGATATTTTCGGCGAATATCACTCATTCCTTTAAACCTTTATAAACTTAACAATAAAACAATAGTCTCGTAGAATATTGTTTACTATTCTGTGCTAGTTGCTAGTCTCCAGTGCTGCCAACCTCGAAGATCTGCAGGACCGTACTTACCGAGAGAAATTACCGTATTTTGAATCAAAGTTTGGTTTGCCGGATCAATTACTGTATAGTCGGGTCGTATTTACATATTGTCGCTGCATGTAACAAAGTAGAAATTCCCTATAAAAAATTCAAAAAACTGTATTTATTTTAGAAATTACTACTTTTTCTGATTGAAAATATTGGTTTGAATATTGGCAAAACCTGATTTAAAAACAAAAAATACAATTTTGTAAATGAATCATGTAGTGCTTGGTGTACCTGCTCAATTGCCAGGAGACGTTCGTCCAACAATTTTGATGTAAAGAAAAGTTGTAAAGCTGACCACTGTTCCAATATTCTTTTCACTACTGCAGCAAATGGTCAAAAATGAAATATTGTGTTCTGCTAAAAATCCGCAGAGTTTAAGTTCGGCTATCTTAACATTTTCGTCGTGAGTCGAAGATGCATCAGTTGACTGCATAAACTTCATTACAATTTTAGAATCTGACTTACCTAGACTCTTAAGTTTTGTCTTGTGTTTATCAGAGTTTTGATGTTTTTTAATCGTCGACAATTCACTCACAAATTCAGCATTACATATAGTACGTCGTCCTTTATATGGATTATCAGGTACAGAACGAAGCCAAGATTTATATTCAGGCAAACCGTACAATTACGTGCGGTAACGATGTCAGGACCGTATACCGTATTTGATGTTAAAATACCGTACATGTACGGTAATTACCGTACGGTTGGCAGAACTGATAGTCTCTCTCTCTTTGTCTCTCTGTTTTGTTGCTTCCGAGCAGGCGCATTTGAAAGTTTTAGAAATAGTTAAGATTTGAAGACTAGTGTTACCAATGAAGAATAGTCAAATTACCTCAACTGTCTGATTTTTGCCAGGACACAACATTTTTAAAAAGTCTGGTTTTCAGATGAATTTGTTTGTGTTGTTTTCAAAGTAAACTTTCTCGTTGATTGATACGAAATGTTCGATACCTACGCTTTAAGTTGTCGAAACTCAATTTGGGAAAATTGTACATTTCGATTTAAGAAGCCGCAAAAGAGTGATTAAATAGTAAAATAGCTAAACATGCCTGCTGATACATGCAACAACGAATTATTTTAAAAGAACTCCATAACTCGTGCACAATTAGTGTATTTCTATCTTTCAAACTATGAGATGAACAAATACAGTGCATTTCTTTAATGTCCCCCCTTTTATTTTTTGAACGAGTCAACTCAAAAATTTGAAATTTGAGATAATGAAATTAACTCATTAATACTTTATTTTGAAGTGAAATTGACAGATCAAGATGGCAACTGGACGCCATCTTGGAAAAAAAATTAATGGAAAGGGGGGTCTCGTGACACATCATTTTAAAGCTTCTGACGAATACTTCATAACCCTAATTACGTTGTCACTGACCCCGGATTCTGCTGACACTCAGCTACAATTCCTAGGAAAGCTTCTTATCAGCATAGCCGGCCAGAGAGCATCGCCTCAAGTACTACCAACTGTCGAAAGCGCTCGCAGATAATTTATAGAAGATATAAAGCTTCAAATTCTTTTTGTAGAATTTAATACTGCTCATGTTTGCTCATGGTTGCCCGACATAGTTGTATGCAGTAAAGTGCGAGCAGTTTTGAAGAATAAAATCCCGTTCACACTAAACGACCGCGAAGAAGTATTTTTTTTGATGTTCTGCCTTCTTCTCGATCTTTTCTGAGCGCGAACAAGCATACGTTCGCTCGCCTGCTAGCCCGTACTCACCAGACAATTATTGATGCAGAATGCTCGTTCACTCTTGTTCGCTCGTGCTCGCTTTTTTGGTGAATACGCACCTTTACAAAAAGGATTTCAAGCTCTATAAGTCCTATTTATTATATGCGAGCGCTTTCGACACAAAAGTTTCACAAAATATGTTGGTGTAACTATTGATTGATAACTTCAACATGGTAAAATTATACTAAATCAGTCTACTTTCTAAACAATTATCTGCATATTCAAATACAATTTTTTTAAAGCTTTTTTGAATTCAGTTCTAGAAGCAATGTTTGTGAAGACTACAAGAAATTTATTGTATTGCTGGACTCCTCTATAGATGGGTGTAGGTAACTTGATTTTTCTTTATTCTTATGTTTATTTGTTTCAGTCTCACAGCATTTCTTATATTGTGATTGACTGTTTCCATGGTGGTATTAAGATATATTTATTCAAGATTTCTTGGGTAAGTTTAACTTGTTCAAGTGTGATTATTTTGTCTATTTTCAGGAATCCCGTTATTTGATAGATGATGTTTGTGGAAGTTAAGTAGTCAAAGTTAGTCGATTCAAGTTATACAAAGTTTTTATTGATTTGTTTTGCGCTTGAGGTACTTATATGTGATTCAATATAGCTGTAATAAATTGTTTTTTTGCATTGTGGTTTATATATTATGTACGGTGTTTTAATGCACGTGTCATTGAAACAATTTTCCTTATCACTTTGTTGATATGCTCTGTCCACATGAGTTTATTATCGATAACAGTTGTAAACATCGATTTATTTTAGTAAGTTATTGTTTATACAACTGTATTGTCCCATTTGGTTTGTTTTTGTGCTTCAGCACCACATATACAATTTTTTCAACATTTAACGCTAGATTATTTATCAGTAGCCATTGATAGTATTTGTTTGGGTCATTTTACTGTTTTCTCTATTTCAAGACAGTTATTTGAATATACTAGTGCGGTATCGTCAGCAAAGGTAAAGTCTTGCACTCAAACCAGCCATTTTCAGTGAGTGGACATACAAAAGATATAGTATAGGTCCGATAACTGACCCCTCTGTGGCACACCAATATTTATATTATACTCGTCACTTTGTTTTCTAATTTTGTGTAACATTTTCTCTCTGTTAGGTATTTTTTTGAACAACACCTCTGAATCCCATATTAAACAGTTTGTTCATAATCTTATATCCACGTTCACAGTATCAATGTTTTTCTGAGATCTACAAATACCGTTATTATATATTTGTTTTTATTTATTTCAGAAGCGACAGTGTAATAAGTCCGTTGTTGCACTCAGAGTACTTTTTTTTCTTGAAAGCCATATTGATGAGTCAAAGCAGAAAGTTTCATTAATAATAATAATAGAATTTATTCATCAATCAAAGGTTAAACAAATCATTATACATACACACATGCATAACACTTATCAAACAAGTCAAGAAAGAAAAGAAGGTAATCTAAAAATAAATTGTTAAGATAGTATAAGTATAGTCGCAAAACAAACCAGAAAAATTGTACATACAATAGTCAGTCTCACAATTATGAGATATCACGAATTATAAAATTCTTCAACATTATAAAAAACTTTTTCAAGAAGAAAATTTTTCATTTTGTTTTTGAATAGAATGTCATTCAGAATCACATCTATCAAATCTCTTATTTTATTGAAACACTTGATACCAATATACTTTGGTGAATTTTCACAGACTGATAACCTTGAATAGGGTTGTCGAAGTTTTTCTTTATTCCTAGTATTATGCATAATTAATCTCACTTTTCTGACTTTCAACACTTTCTCCAATATTTTAGAGAAAACACTTAACAATGATATGTGCCTATAGTTATTTAGCCTACCATGTTTTCCATTTTTATGTATAGGTATCACTTTAGCTATTTTTAGTTCTGATGAGAAGTATATAACCCTTTCCATAATGTCATTCATTAGCTTTAGTAGGTGATCACTGATTTCATCAATAATAAGCAGCAACTCCTCCTTAGTTATACCATCATTTCCTGGTGCTAAAGCATTTTTCAGAGAGTGAATTATAGTTGAAATTTCTTTTTTATGAACAGGGTGGAGATATATGGAATAATCATTTTGAAAAGAAAATTTCTGTTTTTTACCACTTTTAAAGTGGTAAAAAACATAGAAATTTTCATTTCTCTTTTCATTTTCTTTTTATCACTTTTAAAGTGGCCATAGAAATTTTCATTTTTCTCTTTACATTATGATCTCCTACCACGTAGTAACGGCTACATCCATCAATTGAATAATCATTTTCCTGTTCTATGTTATTCAAATTTGTATCCTGTAGGTATATTGTCTGTGATCTTCTCACCCAACTCAGAGAAATCATTAACTTGGAGCTCATCTGTAATACAGGTTTCATCGTCCAATGTTATTTTGTTTATACTAGTTTTTTTTTAATACAAATGCCAATCTAAATTTATCTAACAACCGTACACCTATAGGTGTAGGGAGCATTTTATTGAAAATTGTTTCTACATCTATAGGTGAGTGAGCATTGAACAAGTTAATATGTATAGTTTTATCCCATATTTAAGGAGTTTATTTTAAAAAAAACTACCGACGTCCTCGCCAAAGAACCATTGATTTATCAAAAGAGAGCTCCTTTCCTGGACTGTAAATATATTTCTAGACAGATAATGATGAAAGCACATACGGAATAATCAGTTTTTTTCAGTAGTCTGCTTAACTGGGTACCTGAACTGTTCCTGTTAGTAGAAGTCCAAGAAAGACTTTCAATTCAGGAACCGTCAAATTAGTCCACTTTTGTTATTCTCGACTGTTCTTTAGTTTTTTCAGACAAAAAGCAGTTATTGCATAATTAGTTTCTTCAACAAAGTATTTTGAGATGGATTTTTTCTGCCACTTTATTTACTGAAAGACACTTCTGTGCATGATCTACACATATATTGTTTTTATTGAGGTTTACTTTCTTCAGAAGTATTGCCAAATGTTTTAGTAAAATGAAGTAGAAAGCCATAAATTTTTTCCAAAAACCAATATCTACTGAAAAATACTCCCTTTCTTTCAACCTTTGTCAATTCTCCCAACATTTCTAAAAAAAAGGCAGTGGCAGTAAAGAATCCTTTCTCGGCCACTTCTCCAAATCAAAATATTGCCAAGTGAATTGAAACATTCAGATGCAGTTCTGTGAATAGGGATTTCATTATGTATGTATAATAACTAAGATATGCCTTTGCTAGATTAAAGACCAATTTCAATTCTGGCACACATATGAGAATTGAATGCCTGTTCAATATGCAATTGAAAACTACCTTCTCCCTAGTATTAATTGAAAGAAAATTGGCTATATAAGTTTTTATTGAAATGAAGGATAATGAAACTATTTCCAAAGAAATGAATATATTGATGCAAAAAACGACCCACTGATATTCGCCGAAAGGATCCTTCGAAACAGTGTTGGGTTGCTTCCTATGATGGTGATTCAGAATAGATTGCTGACTGGCTTATGGGATATTCATAAAATTGCATCTCCTTCGCTTCTGTCAATTGCCCTCATGAAGTTTTAAACAGCATTGTACATTTTTCATCATTAGATCCTCCATACTGAAATAAAAATGATATTCACTAAAATACTAGTTACTTATAAAATATAATATACAAATATTAGTTTCAATCAGTTGGAAATATGAGGTCATCATGAACAAATCAGACCCGAAAGATGGTAAAAGCATCATGAGAATCTTTATTAATTTTGCAATTGCTCAGGGAACTCCTTTGTAGAGTCTCTCACCTTCGTATTTTCACAGCCTAAGTGGTAGGTTAGATCGTCAATTGATACGTCATGTTTTATTTTCCTGACATGTTTTAATATTGATTGGCTTCTGTAGGGCATTTGTTAGCTAAAAATAAAAAGAATAAAGACCAATAAAGAGTTACTGACAGTCATGGATACTCAATAAGATAAAACAAAATCAGTGTTAAAAAGCTCGTATTACAATTCCACATTTAGTTCAGCTGAAAATTATTCATCATATTATGAAAGTTAGAATATTGCACATTCATAAAACATTATTCACTATCTCTGCTAAACATATTTTGATTGAGCAGAGAGCGCCAATAACTTTTGACGGGCAAGGTAGACTGTAAGATCGGTATGAACACAACACATTTACGGTTTACTAAATCAAATCTCACCTTCATGCTGACAAGATTGGATTGAATTGGTCCCTGTCCATTGACAATTGTCAAATTATAGATAGAAGTTCATCATCCTATTCATTTCTTTGCAATGCTTTGAAGTTACTTTTTGAAACATTTGTTGGCTGAAAGTAAAGTAAAACAAATTGAAAAAAGATTTTCAATCTCATCTATACTTAATGTAACATGAAATATTTGTTCAGTGTTAAAAAGCTCGTATTATCGTAATTCTTCATTAGGATCAGCTTCAAATTGTTCATCATATAATGAAAAAACATATATCACTTCAATATTGAAAGGCATCAATTTGAAATTAGGAAGTGAACCTTATTACTATGGTCAAGTAGAATCAGTTTGGGTTTGGTTTTCATGAGCAAATGTTTTTTTAACTCAAAAAGATTGCTAGACCGCTATGAGGACAATTTCAATTTTCACAAAAAAATATCTCAGATAGATTTCCCGAGAATGCTGGTCTAATAAAAAAATACAATTACAATAAATTACCCAATGAGGTCTTTCAAAATAATATTGAAATTGTTCCTATTGGATAAATGTCTCTGTTGCACATCTAAGGTGTTTCATTCTCTCTAACATTGTTCCAGATTCAGCCATTTCCATCAAAAGTTCTTCACTATCTCTGCTAAACATATTTTGATCTAGCAGAGAGCGCCAATAACTTTTGACGGAAAAGGTAGATCTAAGATTGGTGTGAACAAAACACACCTATAGTTTACCCAAACAAATCTCACCTTTATGCTGCCAAGATTGGATTGAATTGGTTCTTGTCTATTGACATCTGTCCAATGATAAAAAATAGAAGTTTATCATCCTTTTTATTTGTCTGCAATGTTTTGACGTGACTTTTCAAGGCATTTGTTGGCTGTAAGTAAAGTAAAACAAATTGAAAAAGATTTTGAATTTAATAATAATTTATGTAACATGAAGAAACATTTGTTCAGTGTTAAAAAGCTCGTATTGTAATTCTTCATTAGGATCAGCTATAAATTGTTCATCATATAATGAATAAGACCAATATTATTATCAATTATAAAGGTGGGTTCATGCATCACTCTCAAGTCCTAATTAATGGATCATTGATTTTTCGACAATTTCATAACGATTTTCAGTGATTTTCTGTTTGAACAAATGTTGGTCAACATGAATTCCTTAAACTTAAAATTTGTGACTTATGATTGAAGACTGGTACACAAATCCATCCTAAATTAAAGAAGCGGAGGTTCAATATTATTGTCAATTGTTACTGTGATTAACTGAATATTTAACCAAATTTTCATAAATTTGATATTGAATCATTTATTGACAAAATAAAATCTTGAAACAAAAAACTGAAATTTACCTAATGGGCACCACAAGCAATTCATTAAATCTTCATCCCCAGAACATCCATGCTGAAATAAAAATGCTGTTTGAAAATGTTTCCATTACATATAGAACTAGAATAAATATATGATAGCTTTTAATCAGTTGATGATATTTGGTCATCATATATAAATCAGACCCGAAAGATGGTAAATACATCATTCATGAGAGTTCTAAATGAGAATTCATTCAAATTTTCGAAAAACCCAGTTCAAACAGGTATAATTTCACCATTACATTTTTTATATGAAAATAAAGCAGAGAAAAAAAAAGGAATAAATGTAGACTCACACAGGAAAATAATTCTATCATCAAGTATTCTATATTAAAATGATCTAAATAAAGTAATATTTATAAGAAAATTATTTTTTGAGTTCTAATATGTGCAAAAGTGCCATATTGATGACATCACCAAGCTCATTTTCCATTTATTACATACTCCACATAAAGTTTACTGAAAAAAAACCACCAAAACGCTTCCCATATTGAATTGTTTGACGAGTTGGCCTCCATCTATTAAAAATCATCAAATTAAAGCAAAAATGTTGCTGCAAGTAAAATAAAATAGTGTTCAAAAGCTCTTGATGTAATTTTATATTTTTATCAGCAATAAATTCATAATCATATATTAAAAAACATATTATTTCACTACTAACAAAGGGATTTTGGTAATATGCATACTACAAGGTAAATTTATATACACCTCAATGGTAAGTATAAAATAACATGAAAATGAAAAAAAAAACTTACCTAAATACCATCCATCTGAATTATAAAATTTTCATTCCTGGATGCTTCTTACTGAAATAATGATATTTGATTTCAACATTTATTAAATATACATAAAACAAAATGATATAATGAAAAGTAAATCAGTTGAGAGTATGATGTCATCTTACAAAAATCAGACCCGAAAGATGGTATAAACATCATGACAAAATGGCAAGTATGTTGTAAAAGATTGGGATTAATTCAAATATCCACTTCAAGTGAAACCTACATAAATTACCATCAACTGAAATCAATAAATTGAAATTCCCTTACTAATCAATAAATATTGAAAAGCCAATGAAATGGAGCCAACAAAAATGCTTTAGATTTAGGTCTCGGAAACGTTAAGTTTTGTATTATCTTAGTTTTTTTATAGGCAAAATTATTAAATAAGATACGTTACTGATGAATAAAACATTTTTCTTTGCGAAATATACTCAGAAATTACGCAGAAACTTATTGGGGTGAACAATAAAGTTTGCCCTTTTTACACGTGTACAAAATTCTCCAATACAATTTTCATATTGTAGAAGGTGAAAATACCCAAAGATCAATAAAAAAATCCCAAATAAGTATTCGCTAGATTTAAAAAGTTTGTCATAAATCTTCTATGCCATATGCCTTTTGTAATATAACCTAGACAAAACACGTGTAAAATATAATTCGTAATTTTATGGGGTCACTATTGGATAGTTATTTTATTCTGATCTTTTGTTAATATTAGTGATATAACCTAATTATATAATGAATGAATTCTAAAGCAAAATTTTAATGAAATAGTTCATAGTTCTACATCTCACCTCACATCGGACTCATAGGACCTCACACGACTACATTTTACATCTAGTCCATCCGACTGGAAATGATGAAAGAAATTTAAAGTTTGTTTTGGTTCACAATTCTGTACAGTTTGATCATGCGCAGTTATTAAAATGTGTTTTGGTTCAGTTAAAACCGTTCTAGTATCGTTGGTTTTCTCCGAACCGATTCAGAACTATTCCAGAACGGTAATTATTAGTTCGTACATTTGAATAGGGACCGTTTAGAACTTCAAATTTGCTCTTGCGCACTAATAAAATTTTTCATTTGCGTTGTGGATTTTGGTAGTAACGTTTTCTTAATCTCAGTTTTATCCGTATTTTAGTTGGTTTAGGTGGTGTTTCATTTGGTATTTTATCTACAATACTGTTCGTCTCCGGTAAAACAAAGAAACTCGGAGAGTTCATTGCGACCTGTAAATAAGACAAAATTATATATCAACATCATTCGTATACCATAACAGATAGTAAGTTCATTGCGACCTGTAAATAAGACAAAGTTATATATCAACATTATTCTTATACCATAACAGATAGTCGTGAAATGTATGTAACAATGATAATAATAATCATTATTATTATCACATCTTTTACAATTCCAAAAATTCATTCTCGCCATGTTTTTGTCAAACTCCTTAGTACAAGATTACAAAGAGAGAACAATATATTTTCAATTTAATTTTGGATAACCGGAGATGAGAGTAACAGGATGATTCCTGTAACAGGATGATTCCTGTTACTATCATTTTTTCAAAAACATCATCACACTTTAATTATATATTTGTTTAACTTTTTCACTCTTGTCTTTAAACTTAACTCAAAAGTCCAATGATCGTTATACCAAAGTAGAGGTACCCAACCTCAAATCTTTGTTTATAAACTTGTCAGAATAATTTTTTTATATGTTTTGGTTTTTTATTTGTTGGGACCGCATTCTGCGCATTGATTCGGCGTCGGTACGAGACGGTTCAATAACAGTTCGAAATACAGAACCAAAACAAACCTTTAAATAGGTTTGTTCTGGTTCTACAGGTTTGTTCTGGTTCTGCGAAATTCAGGTTCTAGGACGTCAGGATCATGCACAGTTGATATAAAGCGTATATTTATAGAGGATAATTTCGGATTGATGAATCCTCTGTTCTGGTTTTGACTGCGAAATGATCCTAAACTGTTTTGAACCGTCCCGAATCGTTTTTGCTCTCGAGGCTGAACTGTTGAGAACTGTTCCCGTTGCTCATGCGCATTCATGGGCTATTTGATAGGATGTTTTTTCAATTATTTGATTTTAATAATTGATGATTGAGGGTGGATAACATTTGAACTGACTATAAGGATACGCTACATAACAAAATGGACATAATCAATAGTATTTTCTCGTCTTCATCTCTTCATATATACGATAGGCGGCACAGTGGTCTCCTTAAATGCATTCTGGTTTAAACAAGTGTTCGAGACTATTTCGGACTGTTTGAGATTTTTTGCTTGTACGCATCATGTCTTGCGCTGTTTCCAAACAGTTTCGGATGTTACAACCAGAATAAACCTAATAATAGCACAAAAACATTTGAACAACTTGGAACGTAGAGTATGTGGTTTGTGAACGTAATATGTAGTAGAAATAGCGGTAGAAGTATACTGTGGTTTGTATTCAATACAAATATGTGTGCTCTATTAGGTTGCTTCTCTCGGCAAGCGTTCGTAATGCAGATCTTTCGTCAGAGGTAGATCTGATCTGTGTTCGGTATTTATTACAGCGAGAAAAAAATTTATTCGGTTAACTCCAAGACCAACTTTAGGATAATACAGTTTTTCTAGTTGCCATTGGTGATATTGAAAAAAATGGTTGAGTGTTAAGTATTTCTTTGTAAATTACCTATTGGTGAAATTTTTGACTCTTAGCACATATTATCTTCAGAAAAACGTTCATGACGCATTCTTATTGACATAAAGACTCATCGGTAAGTCATCGGTGAAAGTAAGGAAAATACTAAGTATCACATAGATATAGAAAATGAAGGAGATTTAGTAAGAGAAAACTTGAATATTGTAAACGAAAATGTTAATCAAGAGATAGCAGATACTGTAGAAAATGTACTAGATGAAATACTTGGCGAGGTGAACGCTACTAATATATAAATAATAATAGAACCAAGTGAATGTGAAGAGATAGACAGTGAAAGTGTTCATAAAAACAAAAACAATGAAAACACAAGCAAGGAATCTAGTAGCACCTCTACAAGAGATTCAGATTCTGAGATAATTTTTGATGAAAGATAAAATATTTAATTTAGCATTAAATTAGTTTTGTAAGAAGAGGAATGTTACGAGAACTATGATAACGAACATACCTAGGTTGACGAACAACGAACGGACCCAGGTTGACAAAACGAGTAGTGGCATCTCAGAAGTGGCATGAAGATTATGGATCTTGTTTTACAATACTAAAATAATTTATTTAAATGCATTGTTGTCTAATTAATACCAGGAATATAACAAAGATGTAATATAGTAACACAATAGTGCTGTTGTTGAAAATAGACTTCATCATTAATATATTACAGTTTTTGTGATGACAAATAATACCACAAATATCCAGATTTTTAATACGGAACAAACCTCTAGTAACACAGTGTACTGACACAAGTGTCACAATCTGTCACAGCATATTGTTACCTATGCTGTGGTACTGTGTACAGTGTATTGTTGTAGCATTTTAACCAATATGGAATCATTAAAAGTCCCTCTTGAACAAAGAAATATACTCGCATATTAACCGTCTTTATTTGAAATATCCCATGAATTGTTTTTCATAGAATATCAATTTTCACCATATTCAAGATGTAAAAAAGAATGCTTATCGACTTTTGATGAATGAAAGTCATGATTTCTGTTTTGTGACTTGCTAGCTAGAGATGGGTCGGTATTTGAAGAACGGTATTTTGGGGCGCGATATTATGGTACCGTACCGTTGCGTCGGGCTATTCAAGAATGAAACACGATGGTATTTTGCAATAGACGGTATCGCAGAGTATCATATCGCATCGCATCGCCTTTTCGCTTCAGTATACTGAACCGTTTCGCTGAGTGTCATGAATGTCTGGTCGCTGTGCTGGCGCTAGTTCTTGATCACCGAATATCTGTCGCGGTGCTTTGATGTGGGTAACAATGGAACGCGATCACGATATATCATCCGTAAACTATCATGGATTTTTTTGGCATACGTTTTTCACCCAATAAGATAAAAAAAAATGGAAACTTATTTGGAATGAAATATTTTTTGATACATTGGAAATGGCGGTACTGTTCGATTTTCAGAGCAGTCAAAATGTGATGTTACATTTTCTCATAATTATTGTTTGGTTTAGTTCGAAATTATTTTTTTTTCATATTTCAGTTTAGTGATTTAAAATCAGCTAAATGAGATACATGAAATGAAATATACATTTCAATTCATTAAATAAAAAAAAAAGATGAAATAAATAAACCAGATTACTTCAAATGAAATATAAATTCTATACGAAATTGAAAATTTTTCCTATCTCTAAAGTGGTAAATTTTTGACAATTGACAGATTGAAGTCATTTTACCAGTGATTTCTCTCTCTCTCTATTTGAATGGTCGTAGGAATTCGTTGGTAAGTTTGTCTTACATGTTGGTTGGTAACATTGGCTGTCAGAGATCGGCGCGTCGCTTTTCTTCGTGTCTTGTTATTATAATCGCCATATTTTTAATTTCATTTTTGAGCGATAAACATTTGAATTTACTCAGATTAAGAAAACATCTTAATCTATCTTAAACGGGTAAGCAACATTCGTTACTATTTATATACTTGTATAAGATCTATTTTCTTTTCAGTCAAAAATGTCTGGGGCTGGTGACAGCGATGATGGCTGCTACATTGCGAAATTGAGGGGGCTACCGTGGTCTGCGACAATTGATGATATTATAAATTTTTTCGAAGATTGTAAAATTCTTAATGGGAAGAATGGTGTACACATGACTACGTCTAGAGAAGGTCGACCAAGTGGAGAAGCTTTTGTGGAATTTGAAGATGTGGAAGACTTGGAAGCTGCTGTTCAGAAGGACAGGGAACATATTGGAAATAGGTATATTGAAGGTAAGGAAGATTTCAATTGATGAATGAAAAGTAGAGTTGCACAGAAATGTGTGATATTTTGCTATGCAATATCTCAAATTTTTCAGTTTGAAATTATTTTGAACATTTCTTCATACACTGCAGCCTCATGGGCTTGTTGCATTTTCCACAACACTCATTCCAACAATCTTGTTCCCTGTACTAGGTCATACAAGTTCTTTGTTTGATGTTTGTCATATTCTTCAGGACATAATGCATATGTTATCATGGTTTCAACAACCATTACTAGCCAATAGATTGTGTTTTTAACCACCATGTCTAGCCAATACATCATGTCTGGTTACAACCCTCAATATCATTCTATAAGTTTTTCTAGCCACCATCAGTGCTACCAATGTTTTTCTTTTTATTCTTTGTAGATGACTGTTGGAGGTCAGCCTGGTGTCTAGTATTAATCCCCGATGTTTAATCTCCCTTGACAGCTGTAGTCTTGGTGAAAGCTACTATTTTGATTTCATTGAGCTTATGTTCAATTCTACTTCCTCTGTGTGTCTTATTACTTACAAGGCTTGCTGCATGCCCCCCTTCACTATATCACATTTTCCAATATTTGTCTGTGAAACTTGTGAAGAAAACATTTTTACGACCCTGAAGGTTTTTGGAATCATTTCTGAATTACTTCTCTTCCTTATGTTTCAATCAGGTCTTTTGGTTTCAGTGATACTTTTTGAAAAAATCTTTCATAAGCTGGATCTTGTAGTTATCTAGGGATTTTTTGTTCCCCCAAACCCTATCACTGAGTGCATTATCTTGTATTCAGCAAGGATTCCATATAGACTTTATAAACTAACCAGCTAGATATTTTTTACTGTAGGCTTGAATGCTTCAAAACAATTATGAAAGTAACTTTGTTGGTCTTAGATTGAAGACTATTATATCTGTAATTTGTTGAGTATCTGTTCCCTATGAACAGTTTCATCATCCCTTGTATAACTTTGTTTAACTTTTAAAATAACCAAGTTGAGTATTTCAGAACAATAAAACTGCTTTGACAAAGGAACATTTAATCAACCCATTCTTCAGAGGTCAAATAAAATAATGATCAAATTTAGTTGAAATTTTGACCTTACTAATGAACAAAACATAATTTTCTATATTAACTGAGAGCTCTTTCTAGACCTTCAGTAATATTGTTTTAATGTTTTTAATAAATTCTTTATCTACTAAAGGAGGAATGTCTTCTGTGACCACCTTGTACTTGCTTATCTTGAACCTCAATATCAAAATACCTTATATTGTATTAAATTGGTCACTAATAGCATCCACAAGCTTTCACTTACCTGTTCACATACTTAATGATATTATTCATAAAGTCAAAAACAGGTCCCATATTCTTGTGCATATTTATTCTAGTACGTTCTAGAATTGCAACAGATGAACTTGTCACAATCCTTTTGTCTATTGATATATTTGCCTGCATCTACAAAAATAAATATACATTTCTGATGCATAAATTCTCCTCAATCACTGTTGAATATTTAAAAATCTCACATTGTTTTGTACATATCTACTGGGTAAATGATGGATATAAGTAGTAATAGTAAAATTAGTTAATTCTTTTTTACTTGTTTGCTTGCTAGAGGAGTAATTTTGTTTTTTTTTTCAGTTTTTAAAGTAAACAAAGCTGAAATGGATTGGGTTATAAAACGATCAGGTCCTACATATGGATCAAATGATGATGGCTGTGTAAGATTGAGAGGCTTACCTTTTGGCTGTTCAAAGGAAGAGATAGCACAATTCTTCACTGGTAAGATTGTTTTAGCTAAATACTTTGTGAAACATACTGTTTCACTTGTAACAAAATATTTTTCCCAAGTTAAATAATTTGTTAGGTCTGCTAAAATCAAATTTTAATTGACTGGTCTTGAGAATTTTTTTTGGAAAATTGTTGTTTGGGCTGATTTTGAAATTAGGGTTGAATTCTACAATAAAAATGTTATTTTTATAACAGTCAAGTAACAACTGTCAAAAGCAACACAGACAAATAGGACAAAAGTTCGAGTTGATGAAGTTGATGGAGCATCAGTGTTGCATTTATGTAGATGGGATGTATACTTTAAATTTGGAGCTTCTTGCTTCTAGTTGGAAGAATTCCCAAGCAAATGTAAATGCAGCGTTATTCCGCTAAAAAGGCTTAGAAGTGGGTATAATTCGTAGACTAGCTTCATTTTACTACATAGTAATGGGATAATTCGAGTTGAAAATCTTTGGCAATCTCATTATTGAAATATTCAGTATGTTCCAATTAAGAAGAATAATCAAATGCAAAATGATTACATAGTCAGACCCAGTCTATTTAATTTTAAATTTGAATTTTTTTCTTGCTACCTATGTTCTTGGTTGTAAGCTGTAATTAAATAATTTGTTATCCAGGTTATCCAGCATTCTGGATACATATATTATTGAACTGCTTACTTTCTACTTGTTTTCTGGGTTGCAAGTAAATAATCCGTTATATGGATATTCGGTGTTGCACTGTTTGTTGTTATTGCACAATGAATTAATGAATGTAAATATAAGTTTTAAAATATTCACTATCAACTTACAAATCCAAATTTTAATTTGAAATACTATAAAGTATAAAGAACAATCAAAATTATTTGGTAATGCTGCTAAATACAAATAACACTCGATAGGTACATATTTTTTTAGATGATGAATTCAGAAAATCAAAATTTGCTTTGGAGATGGATTTTTTTTACCTATACGAAAAATCTCATCAAAATTGAACATATAAAGTTTTCACTTCTTATTATATTCCAGAGTTGATATTAACAATACCTATATATAATGAATACGTGATGGAATTGGTTGATACTTAATGAGAATTCATAAAATGTCACTCGAATAGAATAAATACCAAAAGATAGATGTATATTGGCGACAAGTAAGGAGTGACAAAAGGGCCTTTAATCATCCGGGTGGCAAAACACGTGAATAGGAAGTGAGATAGAAAGCCAAAATATTTTCATAGTTTTCTACCAACCTTAACCTAAAGTGAACCAGTAGGTGTAATTGGCTTCTGACGTTTTCTGGAAGATTTGCTTAACTTCGTTATACTGTAGTCGAGTAACTAGAAGAGCATAACTATGACGTGACACCTTTTGATTTGAATTTATTTCATCAGACTGATTGGTTCATCAGGTGTCCAACCATTTTCTGTTTTGAAAAGTTGAGTAGTTTCTATTTAGAGTCACCCTCTTTGAAATGATTAACAACGGATTTTTTTTCTTGGGTATTAACAGCATCGACTGCTTGGTCATTAGCCTTGTGTGTTAGGTTGGCAATGCTTATAATTTTCCCTGCCACCTAGGGAGCATCAGGGCAGTCCGTCAATTCAATTCAATTTATTCATTGGTTTTACAGATTACAGTGAAAGTAATATAAAACACGTCACAAATTACATATAGGTAGACATTTGAAACTGACAATTTTAAAAATAGAGTAAGTAAATTAAAATATATATTATTGAATGAAAGTATCTAATTAGCTGGAATAAAATTCTTCAATATTATAAAACATTTTCGACAACAGAAAAGTTTTGAGATGCTTTCTGAATTTGAAGTTAGCAGTCTGTTTTTTAATTGATTCCAGGAGCTTATTGTAAATTCTTACACCACCAGAGATAGGTCCCCTGAGAGTTACATTCAAATTATTTCGAGGTGTTTTTAGATGGTGGTTAAATCTAGTTGAATGACTGTGATCAGTACTATGAGTGCTAACGTTTTTTTATTTTTAAAAATGTAACAAGATATTTCTAGAATATACAAAGCAAGAGAGAGGAAGTATTTTCAGATTGGCAAATAATGATCTGCATGTTTCTCTCTGACTTTTATTCAATAAAGTTCTAAGGCATTTTTTCTGCAGTACAAATAATTTCTGAGCTGCTGATGATGAACCCCATAATAAGATTCCATATGTGAGTCGTGACTGAATTTCAGCATAATAAATTTTTTTTTAGTACGGACAAGTTGAGAACTTTTCGTAGGCATTTCAGTTGGTATATTTTGCTGTTTAGTTTGGACATTGTTTCTCTGATATGGAATTCCCAATCTAATGTGTCATTCATAATTATACCTAAAAATTTTATGTTTTTGCATTGTTTTAGTTTTACTTCTCCCATTTTAATTTCTATGTTTTCAATCCTCTTTTGTCTAGAGTGAAATATTGAAAAATTTGTTTTACCAGAATTGACATATAATTTGTTTGTTGAGAACCAAAGTATAATTCTTGTCAATAAATCGTTACAGTTTTGTTGGATGGCTTTTAAGGAGTCTTTTGCTACTATGATCGACAGATCATCTGCGTAAACTATTAGTTTGTATTCATCTAAGTATTTAACAACATCTGTTATATATAAAGAGAACAATATAAGCTCAAGGACACTTCCCTGCGATGCCCCTACATTTATCGACATCAAATCTGAGCAGTGTATGCTGTTTTCTCGTCAGCCATGTAACATTGCATAATCATCCAAACTTCAACTAGATAAATTGTCTTGAGAAAAATATTATGTCGAGGTTGGGATCGAACTCGCCACATTTTGATCGTGAGTCAGGCTCACTACCACTGCGCCAATTCTCCGCTAAGAGAAGTTATTATTATAATTGAACAAATGAAGATTTTTTGGCTTCAGTAATAATGGTGCGAGACTTTTTCAGTTTGTGTAAAACTATGGAATTTTGGAATTTGATAATCGGCGTACCTGAATACTCATCTAATGTGATATCTGTTCTGGGCGTCCATAGTTCCAAATTGGCGTCTTCATTTACCGACACACATCAATGATTACAGGTAGAAAAAAGATTTGGATCCAAAGTTTATTGTCCTTCTGTGTAAACCAAGATATATTAAAGGATTGAATCGTATATTTAAAAAGTTGAATGTAACCTTGTAAGCAAGATGTTGGAAAATGAATAGTCAGAGATTTATGAAATAAGCTGTGAGGACTATGACAAATATATCGGTCAGATTAAGCGAGCTATTGAGACCCGTTTTCAAAGAATGCACAGCACATATCCTATTTCAAAGACCAGAAAAATCTATTTAGTGACACCCAACACGTTTTGGAAAACGGCCATAGAATAAATGAAAACTGAAATTGTTGAGTTTGGTACAAGACACTTGATTTTTGAATGCTTTCGAAAGACTGAAAATAGTAAGGTGACAGTGACAAAGGTCTTTTCGTGAATGACTCTGAAAATTTGTTGGAAGTCAAGTTGTTGATTCTAAATATACTTATTCGAGAATAACATAAGAACTTATTGAAGGATGTGATACTCACCCAGATTGGAATTTAAAAGGGCATATTGTGAAGTTTTCTGATCAAGTTGGTTAAGTTCTCCACTTTCAATTACAAATTTTTGTTGGCGTTGAAAGTCTTTCTAGTTTGTCAATTGACTGAAGCATTCGATACTCCTAACTTCTGACTGGAGGTGTGCTATGAATAATTATGGGCTGTTACTTGATTAACAAACTGATAAACCATTTGAAACTCTAAAACCACATCTGATATATATTTAGTTATGCAAAATATTTTTATTTTTCCAAATTATGAAATATGAAGACAAGAAAACCCATTTCAACTGTCTTAGGTGTATAACATCAACAACAATTTTCCAATTATTGATAACAAATTTATCCAATGTGAAACACTAAGTGAACTGTATATGTAGTTTAAGTTTTGAGTTCAAGGGCTTAATTGTTCTGGGTTGTCTTTGGGTAGGGTTGGAGATAGTACCCAACGGAATAACTCTTCTGACTGACTACTCGGGGCGAAGTTCTGGGGAGGCGTTCGTAGAGTTTGTTAACAGAGAAGTGGCAGAGAAAGCTCTGCAGAAACATCGAGAAAAGATCGGACACAGGTGGGGTATGCGGGAGGGATAGGGTGATCCTCCTTTTTTACTGTATTATTTTTCTCAATATTTTAGTAGTACACACAATGAAGGTTTTAATTATTTTGTTGAAATTTGTATTGTATGCATACCTATTTTTTGAAGGGTTTTGAATAATAATTAGAATTATTGTAAATAAAATCGATTTGATATTGGAATAGATAGATAGATAGAATGGATAGAACTATTGGAATTTGGTGGGAAGGTATATCCTTTTTACGATTTTATTACAATTCCTTTCAATCTGCAAATAATAACATCACAAATTCTTATACTAGAAAATGAAAAAAATCATGTCCTCTCTGAGAGTATCAGAAATTCCGTAGGAAAGGTCGCCTTTGAATTCAAACACGGATTCACATAACCTTCAAGATTTACTTTTGCATTAGAGTTTTTATAGAAACTTAGGACTGTGAAGTAAAGATTATTTCATCCTATGAAGTAACTTTTTTTACAACTCATCCATAACTCGATAGTTACTTTGACTAATACTCCAGTTCTTACTATTTCTGTTGGATCTATTCACAATACAAAATCAAGAAAATAATATAAATCTTGTTTTACAAAATTTTAGTTTATAGAGAAGTTTCCCATTTTTGTCAAATTTTCATGGAATATGAATGAAAATTGTCGTAAAATGAAATAAGAAAAATATGACAAAAGTGTTGGTAAACCTGATAATTTATTTCAGATATATAATGGATGTAACTCCTTGTTCAGAAAAATGGGATAATAAATTTTATGATTGTTTCAAGGACAAACATTTGGACATGTATATGCCATTTGAAATGAAATAGTCTATTGTTGTTATTTGCTTATATTTGGTTTAATTGAATATATGGTATTGAACATTTTGAATTGTTGAGCTGTATTTTTTTGTCGCACTTTTTGAAACTACCAATAACTTTGAATTTTTGTAAAAATATCCAAACCTCAGGCGTGAAATGCATAAACAAAATGAAACCAGCAATGATTCAAAGAAAATAATGAATTAATGTATAGATAACCCTATAACTCAATTTAGAAATTCATTTTTTTTGGTTTTATCAATACAGCAGATCATTTCTTTAAAATTGAACTTCTCTGAAAGGGCTGTAATTTCTCACTACCAAATATACGTTGCAATTTCCCAACTATTATTTGAAAATCATGGCCACCATACCAACTCTAATAAAGATTTTTGTGATAAATTTTTGGCAGTGGTCATTAAAAATTGTTTCAACTATCTCCTTTATTTCATAAATGTAAATGTCCATAGATTGACTAGGACTATTCTTGAAGAAATTCATATCTTCCCTGTTGAAAACATCAATAACAAAAATTGTCTTGTATTTCATTATACAGGGCGCAACATATGTAATGACTTTCATTTTATGAAGAACAATTTATGGATGTTCTAACTTTCTTGATTTTTTTGAAGACAAGGTGTCAACATTTCAATAAAAAATAAGTTTTTAGAAACTTGGTATGTTTTGGACACAAATAGGTTTTGAAAATACTCTCAAAATTCAAAACATATATACACCAAGAATGAATGACGTGTTTCGTTTCAATGTGTGATGATGCACTTCGATAGCAATAACAACAGATGTTTTGTAGTTACTTCAGTGGCGTCACTGATAAGGTGGAAATTAACTCATCTTGATTTTTCTATTTCTCTTCAATTTTATGAAAAAAAAAACATTTGTCGCAATTCAAAGAAATTTTGAATTGAGATAGATGGATAGATATTTTTTGTATTACAATTTGTTCTTCTCAAAACTAGGCACGATTCAAGACTAGAAAGTTGTACTATTGTTTATTTGGTCAATCTGAAGGCACTATCAAACTTGAACATACAGTTATAGGATTTATCAAATTGTAAAGTTAATTTAAGGAAAGAAGTTTGACTTAGAATACCATCTGAGGAGCAGAAGTGGATATGTTGGAACAGCATATAATCGTTATGTAAAACAACTAAATATTCATGTGTACTAGCACTATTCACTATTTTATTATAAATTTATCGAACATGTTTTACTACTTTTGATTTACTTCAATGGTCTCTGTAATATTATTCAATGAATTCTCTTTATCCTCCTACAGTGCAGATTTTTTAATTGATAGTCCAACAACGTGCAATTTGATTAGTTCAAATAAACCAGTAGTATAATAGCTACTCTTTCAGTAATCAATTCAAATAATTTTTATTTTCTACTAATCCTGGAAAAAAGAAAATAATTTACTTATAGGTTGATCGTTTCAAAACTATTCTTTATTCATTGCTGCTACTTTTCCGTGAAAAGTTATTTAGTACAGCTGCCGGACTTAGTCATAACTGGTGATAGGCCCCTTCCTCAAGATGTGCAGTAGATATCTGTTATGTGTTTTAGATTATTCGAGCCATAAAAACATCCAAAATCAGGACCGTATTCAGTTAGTGACGGAGTTTAAAAGTAAATTGCATAAACATATGCAATTTCACGACCCGAACTTTTCACAGATATGATTTCTCCCTTCAGCCATGACTCAGTCCGGTAGCTGTAATTAGAGTAATAGTTTCATCAGAAATGAATGTTACTTTAAACGTTCCATTCATATAACATGTAAAGGTAATAATTACTAGTATTATATAAGTGTGTTGAATGGTTATTATTTTTGAGTTGAATTTTCCCTTTTAATATTTTTCCACTTTTTTTTGTATGTACAATTCAATATATTGACATTTACTGGTTGAATTCACAGGTACATAGAGATATTTCGCAGCAGTCTTTCCGAAGTGAATAGTGTTGCCGGAGGCCAAGAAAGTGGTGGAATGGGGGGTGGCGGTAGACGAATGGGTTCAGTGTTCAATAGTCGCCCAAGTCCTTATGATAGGGACAATAGATTCGGTGGTGGTAGATTTGGAGGAGCTTCAAGAGGTGCCCGCAGTTTCAAAGGTATATTTTAACTTAACAATGATAATTTAATCAATTTTCTCAAAATGAAACTGATAGATCTCTTCAGAATTGCATTGATAACTGGTGTAATGTATATGGATGCCCAGTCTGTTTCCCAAAATGGACCTGATATGAGGTATTCTCCTGTCCTCTGCTCTTCAATAATGTTAGTTGCGGATATCTAATTTATGAGTACTTTAACATTTAATACAATAGGAATGCTATGGAAACAAATGAAGGTAGTTGTTGATTTGTTGATGTTGTCATTTGTATGAGTGTATTTTATGAATTCGTGAGCAAAATGTCCCACTTTGGTTATATTAATGAAGATTTTTTAAAATTTGATTATGATCTGTGATGAATGTAGTTAAATTATTGACCGGATATGCAGGTTATTTGCGGAAAGGTATACAAAAAAACTCAAATCGAATCACAATATGGTGAGAAGGCTGTTGAAAAATTGTTTGCATCATGGATCAATTCTTTCAAAAATGTACAAACAAAAGCCTCAGATGGATAATGGAGATCTAGAAATAGATGAGAAGTTCTCATTGTATGAGAAAATATGTTACGGGCATTGAATACCTTAATTATTTAACAATTACAAGAAAATGTATAGAATTGTATTTGAAGCAGCTGAAAGAAATTACTCCAGCCAAACATTATCTAGTGTTAGAAACAAACAACGTGAAACTTGAAATTGTTGAGGAACTGAGAAGAAATAGTAACTTTGTTTCCCTCAAAAATGAATTCTGAAGGTGGGAATATTTTTTACTGTTCTATTACCGATAAATTAGCAGATGAAATTAAATGTGGTATAAATAAATTTCAGTACATGAATCAAATAGCTACATCAAATTCTTTCAGTTTTTTATGAATTCATGAAGTAAAATAATTTATTTCTGAAGAAGTTAACAGTATGGGATGAAATCTCACTCAAAATATTCTTATTACCTGATACTGTACTAGATATTTTGACATAATCTATTAACAGATCTGTATCCAATGGTATTTTTCCGTCTTGTCTGAAAATCACTAAAGTAATACCTTTGTTCAAATTTGACGATCAGAATCTACTGTAAAATTTTAGGCTCACCTCAACAATACCAACAAATAGCGTAAATATTTTTAATGAAAATAATGGAATTACATTCACATATTCTAGTAGCCTCTACTAATCCACCACGTATTTCGATACATGTGTCGTAGCGCTTACGAATGTTTCTGAGGGCTAATATCTGCACATACCTGTCGAATTCTTGCACAAAGTTCATTTCTATCTCTTGAACGGTTTTTGTAAACCTTTTGTGTGAGAAGTCCTCAGAGAAAAAAGTCCAAAACTGTGAGGTCTGGAGATCTGGGTGGCCACTCTACAATAAACGGATTTGTTTCTATCATGTACATTCAATTGAAAATTCTATATTAAAATTATACTCTTTCCGTTTTCATTGTATACTTTACACCTCAATGTAATCTCGTCAAATAGGTACCTCAACTGTAATTCCATTTGCTTTCTAAAAAACCCAATCTACTTATTTTATTTCAGAATCCTAGTTTTAGCTCAGCTTTGTCAACAGAGTTTTGTATTCTTCGACAATAAAGCATTTTTTAATTTGATGTCCAGTTGACAAATAAATGAAAAAAAATTAAAAACGGCTTGTGATTGAATCAAAGTATTTTTCTTTAAACACAACATAGGGAATTGACTAATACAATGAATATAAAAAATAAAAAAAATTTTCAGTCAATAATCTCAATCAGATTAAAAGAAAATATAACTGAGAACGTTCATTTTATAAAGAAATCAGATAATTTTTGTTAACCTTCAGATAAAACCAAGAATTCATGATTACTGATATTTGGTGTAGATACTATATTATGTTACTCATCGGGCTATGTATTAATTATTAATTAATTATTCGATCAGTTTTTTAAAAATATGAATATAATAAAATATTTTGTATGTGACAGTGTCTATTTCAAGTTTTAAGTGGACATTATAATCATGATGGTAATTTTCTAGTTCATTGCTAGTTTATTAATCACATTCTTTATTTTTTTCCAGATTACAATAATAGTTATGATCGTCCATCTTGGTCAAGTAATCGAAATGGAAATGACATGGGATCAAGAAACTCTTGGGATTCTTGGGGAGGTGGTGGAAATGATCGTTCCTTAGGAGGTATGCATTGCATTCACATGAGAGGATTGCCTTTCAAAGCCTCCGAAGATGATATTGCAGATGTGAGTATTATCAAATCAAATTTATTATATTGTCTGAAAATAATTACATATTACATACAAGGTCTTGTAATCATCATTAATCAACAATTGGTAATGAGTCTACTTATGAAAATATTTTTGAAAAATATGCTAACAAATCAATTCATTCACAATATAAATAAAAATGAAATCAAATAAACTACAGAAAATCATGAGTAACCTGTTGGTGATAGTATTTTACATTACGTAAATATTCTGCATTCCCTAACTTCATAATATTTTTAGTGTCATCGTATTCACTATATTTTTGTAACAGTTTTCAACTTCCATTTTTTGTTTTTCATTTCATTGATATTGTTGTGGAGATGAAATAAAATCTAAAACTTGTTAATAGGATATATTTTGATTTTCACTATTGAAGGTTTACAAAACCGCGAAACGGGTTTTGCTATACAAAAGCTTTCCCAAGCAGAATTTGAATGAGAAAGCTATTGTATAGCGAAACATGTCATGGTTTTGTGAACCTTTTGTTTTGAAAATAAAAAAAAAAAAACTTATTAGTAACTTTCAATATGGACTTTCATCAAGTATCAGCCAGTTAACTTCAATAAAATCCAAAACTTTTTTTATAATACCAAGGGGATACCAAAGTTGAGTATTTGTAACTGTGTCACAGTTTTCTGAACCTTTCATTCTGAAAATCAAAATCTTAGTAAGTTTTGATATGAATTTTTATCAAGTCAGTCAATTACCTTCAATAAAATTCGAAACTTTTTTATAGTTCCAAGGAGATAACAAAGTAGTGTATTTGTTTGTAATGAATTTTCAACTCTCTAGCTTCCAGAGTCACCCACAAAAATAAACTCATTACCGAAACAAATTTTTATAATAATGAAAAGGAAAAATCAAATTTGAGGTATGCAGCATATGAAAAAAAAGTAAATATGATCTTGTTTACAACAAAAAAAACGTGTTGTTGGTAATTTAATTTTTATAATTTTCTGCTATTTAGTTCTTCAAACCTGTTGTTCCAATAAATGTATCCCTACTCCAAGACTCTATGGGAAGAGCTTCTGGTGAAGCAGACGTAGAATTTGCAACTCACGAAGATGCAGTTCGAGCAATGAGCAAAGACAAAGGTCACATGCAACATCGATACATTGAGCTGTTTCTCAATTCAGCAGGAAGTTCAAGCAATGGCGGCAACGCTTACGGTGGCATAGGTAGAAGACGAATGTAACTTCGATTGGTTGAAGAATATATCATGTTTATCTGAAATTTGATATGACGTTTTATAAATATGTGCTTAATCTCACAATAGATAATTATTTTATCTGAGTTCTTTTCAGTTATTGTAGCTGCAGTATATATTTGATTATTTACTGTAAGATGATTCAGTTTTATTCATAAGTGGACTCATATTAGAATAAGTTGAATAAAACATGTTCCATATTTCTAGAAGTTGATCGTGACAGAAAATAAAGAATTACATAAATGTTTTTGAATCTTGAAATGTTTAATTTCCAATCTTCGATATTATTCATATCTGTATGATTTCCCGTACCCGAATGACACGCAGGTAGCTACAGCTGTCATTGTGATAATTATGATAGTATTCTTGTAAACACAAGATCTATTAACGGAAACCACAAATGTATGGTTGGCTTCTGCTAATGACTCCATGCATTTAAACTTATTTTGACAACCAAATGTTAGTGCACTTGGCAACACAATACTGATGATGGACCAAAAGATCGAAACTTGTGCAAACTGTTTGCTCTTTTTTTGAGTTTCATGTCCAAAAGAATTATCTTTTGGATTTATATCAAGACACTTAGTATATATATGATTGATACACCTAGTTTTTCTTTATTTTCAACGTTTTAATTTTACCATAATATTAACAGTGAAACACTTTGTGCCTTTGTGCACAAATACTTCCATTAAATCACCCAATAACATATTTATAAAGAGTACTCGAAGATGATCGTAATCTTCAAATAAAATAGTTAACTTAATTGAATATTTTAATTAATATTAATTGTAAAGCTAATCAAGACTAACCAAACTGACACAATTTAACCCAAATTATTCATATAAATTTCATTAAGTTAGGTTCTATTATCAAATAATTATCTCCTTTTATGATGATATATGTTATATTTGGATAATATATGAATATAATATATATTTTTATACTTTTGAGGTATACAAAAACAATGGCATTGCTTCATATTGTATCTATGAAATATATTATGTACTTACATAAGTATACGAATATTAATTTGTTATTACAGAGGTACCGAGAATTTATAAATAGTAAATGAATTTGCAACAAATAATAATTTTACTTACTTGTTTATTTTAACTCCGCGTACTTAACCAAGAGAAAAATGTTCAACTTCTTTAACGAATTTCCCTTCCATAAACATATCAACAACTGGCAGATTATCGGATACAGATGATTTATTCATCGTTNTTATGACTCACATATAGATATTAACAAAATAAATACACGTACACACATGTATCAACGGGGTCTGTCAATAAAAAAATCAAAACTGATCTACTTTGACAAGCTTTCACTTCTAATGGAAAGCTTCTCCAGGCCAGTAAAAATGAGTGAAAAACAATGAATTGAACATATAAATTGACGAAAGAAAGTTAAATTTGTATGTATTTTTTGGTTTGACATGGTGTGAACAATTTCCGTCATTACTTGTGATGTAGACCTCATCGATCTGAACCCATATTGAGCATCATTCAAGTATCTACCACTTTAAGGAAATCAAGAAGTCTGTTTTTGACTAGAATTTCAGTGATCTTTGATATAATGGGAGTTATGGTAATAAATCTATAGTTATTGCAATCATTAGGATCAACCTTTTTTTAGGATTGGTGTTGCTTGGCATAATTTTAGGTTCGCTGGAAACATTCCACATGAGAAGCAAATATTTGCTAGGTGTGCTGTAGGCTTACTAAATGCATCACTTGCCATCTTCACTGTAAAGGAACTGACGTTATAGGCATCTAAAGTATTTGAATTTTTTAATGAAGTAATAACAGTTTGTACTTCAGTTTCATTTGTAGGCTTCAAGATAAATTAGCCTTTCAGTGAGATCTTCGTCAGATCTGCACCATTAGTACCTAGGATATTAATATTTGTAATCAGTTCTTCAATTACAGAAGTTGAATAGTCATTAAAAGTGTCTGTAGAAATATCACCATTCATTTGTGTTTCCGACGCGGTGGAAAGCATGCAATACGTCACTAACACAGATACAGTATGTTCATACATGTCTGGTATGTAATCATACTGAACTTTTGCGGAACTAAAATCACTACAAAGTGAAAAGCACCCCTTTTCAGGACTACAAAAAAAACAGTACAAAATATAAATCTTACACACTCATTAAGAGTCAGTCCACTACAACGATTTGAGGATATGAAAATAGAAGCAAAGTGCCGCCTTATAGAGGCAAAAACAAACATTGTGAAATATGATAATGAGCGTGATATCATTGTAAACAAAGTAGCTCTCTACGAACTCGGTACATTAGCAGAGGCTGCAGTGCAAAGATGCGGATGAACTCTGTTCGAAAATTGGGAAAGATAACCAATTTTCGAGAATGCAAGCTCATGCTATATAAAATTAATTTCACAATATTGCCTTATCTAATAGTCTTAAATTAATTTTACAATGTGTCCTGAGATGTATTTATCTTGGTTTTGGTCCTTTCTAAAAGTCAATATTTCTCGGTTCCATACCACCAAAACACGAAGAACCGGAAAGATTTAAAGGAACTAGGTATGAATAAGGTGATTTTTAAAACAAATCATACACTACAGAGCCTTTTAGGAAGTCCAAAAGACAAAGTCGAGAGTTCGGAAAAGTCTGGAATTTACGAAATTAAATGTAAAGACTGGGTTGCAAAATATTATCGACAGACAAAAAGATATATTAAATAAGATATAAGGAACACTTAGCACACTTAAAATATGGAAGACCAGCAATCACCCATCATATTTTGTAGCGAAACCGTTCCATATATTTCAGTTCATTAAGATTAGTTAGACAAGTAATCTGTATTTGAAATAGGTAATCCTAATCTACATTCACAAAGTATAATCTTATATATAGTAATTAGCAGCTCCTTCAATAGTATTAATATATTTGTTTTGTTTTAAATTTAAACGTACACACTAGGTATTTACATTTCGAGTTATATTTTCCATTGTTTTGCTAAAAGATGTATTAGGCCAAAATTGCTGAAAGACAATAAAGATGAAAGTAAACTATTTTGTTGAAACTATTAAATTGTTTTGCTATGGAGATATTGGAAGATTTGATTGATTGAAATATTATAACTTTCATCAAGCGAATGAAGTTTTTTTTAACACAGATTTGAAAAAATATTTTCAGAATTTAAATTTATTGATGAAACCCGTAAATATTGCATTTATTGGTATGCAAAATTAATGAGAATAATGCATTTATTGATATGCAAAACCTTTGAGAATAAATTTTTATAAAAGTTATCTAACAAATAAAATTATAATCAAAAGACACAGAACTAAAAATCACTATTCGCTACTTCAGTAACATTTCAAAACATTATCATGGACCAATAGGAAACTTCCCAGAAGAGATGCAGACCTAGGATAACAATTTATGATTGTAATTCTGAAAGCCATAGCTTTAAAATAAAAGATAACTAGAGAATCACTGAAATGGGAACTCTTGGAAATAATTTGTGAGTTGAAACTAAACTTAAAACATAAACTACTTTTTATAAATCAACTAACCTGGAATATCGAGAACCACCCCTTCTACCTCCACCACCTCTTCGGGATCGCCCATTTGACATTTCAACTCGTACTCTTGATCCACAGCAGCGCCTGAAAATTTTATGATTATATGTAAAGGTGCTTTCGAGGTTTTTTTAAAACTATAATTCTAGTGATTGTTTGAAGAAGTGAATGGATAAAAATGTATATTTTTATGTCTAATTTCAAATTACAGCTAGCTAACAAAATTATTGAATAAAATAATCAATATTCGTTGATGATGCACTATTCAGAACAGTGAATTCTGGCAATATGTACGTCCGAGATCAAAACCAAATAAGTTGACATACTCTTTATTCTGTTATGTGTTTTCTATCAGATTCAACTTTTCTTAGGGATACACAAACACAATGTTAATAACTTTACAGGCAAAAAGTTGTAGAGTTAAAATAAAAGTGGAATTCAAGAGTCAGTCGCTGCTAAGAATGTGAGATATAACCTTCATCCTAGCAGTCAACGCATATACCACTGATGATGTCTGTCGCAGTAACAAATAAATTTGGTCAAGTTCCAATCGACCATGGCCTAATAGCCCGGATCTTGTCTCTCTAATCGTGAGTCAGGCCGTGAAAGCTTATATGTGCTAGTAAATGTTTTCCAAATTAATGAAAACATTTCAACTTCTGTATATTTTTAAGCTTCAATGTATTTTTTTTAGAAGTTCATATTTAATTAGATGAGTAGCCACAGACAGTTTCCACCTGTCAAATTTTTTAGTTTTCCTTCCTTTGGAAGATTCCCTCATCTTTTTTTGTATCAAGATGGAGTAGTAGAAAGCCAAAAACTTTCTTTCCCAAAAAAAAAGAAAATGTTATAGTTAGCAACTTATCATGTCATGCTTGTAAAATAGTTGAACGAGTGTTGTGTCTATATTAATGGTCTTGAAAAATGCATTGAAAGTGTAAAATTTACATTTTATGCAGATGATACTGCCTTAATATCATCATTATTGAGAAACTGAATATCTCTGTATCTGTAGAGTAGGGAGGGTGAGTATAAGCCCACGCACTTAGGCCACATGTGACCCATTGTACATCCTCCCGAGGAGTTGTCCTCCTAGGTCATCGTCCATCCTGTCCTTTCCAGGAAGGTGGACAGGTCGCNTAATATTATGAATAACGATGGTGGACCAATACCATATAGTATACTATATAGCTTGTTAAAAAAATATTTTATTAGATTTACCTATTGCATAAGGACACATTCAAAACTAGTAGTTAGGGCAATATTGTGAAATTAATTTGTATAGCTTATAATATTTCAATTATTAGATTCACCTAACATTACATGAGGACACATTGTAATGTTAGGTGAATCTAAAAATGAACGATACATACCAACAGATACTTACACGCCGAATCACACAACTTAGTAACAATCTGTAGTAAACACATTAATAACTGGATGTTTTCGCCAACAGGGCAGTAGAAAACTTTCCACAAGACAGAACGTTATTAATAATCCTCTTAATTTCTTCAAAATGTAACATTTACAGAAACATATACAAATGTTTTTATAAGAAGAAAAGGGTGGAGTTCAACCTATGCGAGAAGATTGCTCCCCTAGGCTTCTCTTTCACTCCACACTTCGTTACACTACCTTATATCAAAGGTGTTACTGACAAAACATCCGGACAATATAAAAACCACAAACAATGACATCAAGGTTACTACCCAGACCAAAAGATAAAATCTCTCTCAATAACGCTGCTCTCTTTTAACACCACTGCTACACGGTCTTGCTTAGCCAACTCTTTTTGTTGTCAATGGAGGGGATATATTTCCTTGTAACAATATTGGATTTAGTAGGCATTTGATGTAGTGATACACATCCAACATCACCACCCATGAGTACATTTAATTTATAACTTTTTTTCAATAGGTATAGTTCAGAGTTTTGAAACTTTTTCATGTTATTCTTATCAAACTTTGGGAATAGTTCTTTCACTTCAAGATATCAATATTTGAATTTTTGACAGACCCGAGTTGGGTTCATTTATGGGGTTTTACGAAAAATACACATACATTATAATCACATGCTGTTTCTTTGTTAACTAGGTGACGATTTAGGTATAGGGACATGTATATCATCTTGAAGCATTTTTCACCATCTTTCAATTTATCCAGTAATATACAGGGGGTTTCACTTGAACAAATGAACTTTCGACTACTTTTATGCACAATGGAAATAATAGTAATTTTAGCACACCCTGTATGATAGAGTCGATTTATTGGTGTTATTTGAATATTTCGAGTTTGTCCAAACTATCATCAAAATATCAACTTTTCATGAATTGAGAGTACTGATGTACTTAATTTCAATTAAGGCTATGTTTTGGACCATATTTAGCACAATTTATTTTTTATCTNTCAATAATGGAATATTTCCTGTCAAAATATTAAATTGAGAAAATTTCAGCGCCTGTCTCGAGAATCTGAACGACCTCGGGAATCTCTACTTCTTGATCTGGAGCGAGGAGAGCGTGAACGTCTTGGTGATCTGGACCTACGAAATATATGAATGTTATAGTATGTAAAATGAGAAGTATTTACATTCAAAAAATATTTGAAAACAAAAGTTACAAATAATAATTGATAGTCTAAATATTCACCATTAATAATTAATATTCCTTGCTCAAGTGGGATGTGGGTAGAGAAAAATACTCATCATTATTGAATAATATATTAATATAATAAAAAACAAGATGCATTAAAATTGTTAGTGAAAATAAGTTGAAAAATTAGCTTCCTTACTCACACATCACTGGAACAAGAAAAATTCATTATCACCCAATGAACTATTTTAAATTTCTAATATATCCCACCAGTCTCAAGTTGTTTTAGAAGAAAATAGAGTTGAGATGGGTTGATGCTTGTTGGGCAGACTGTCGGTGAGATGAAAGTTGCCGCATAGCCCTTACGTTGTTGTGGAGATTATTTTTGCAAATATTTGTTGAGTAGTGGTAAGACAGTTGGGATGCACGCGAGATGTCATTTTCATAATCAAGTCGGTAAGCTGTCATAGCACCACCACAGGTTGATTGGCTGTTGGGTGTTTTTTCGATGTAAGATGAGATGTGTTGTAGGCCGGGGAGGAAGGTGTAGGTCTCAATCTCAAGGGGGAGAATACAACAGCAGTGGCGCTGCAGGCGGCCTGTAATGTGAGCGCCAAACCTCATTATAACTGCTGTCATAGTGATAGCAGATATAATTTTTTCAATTCACAAATCAACTTATCAGATGGTTAAAATATCAGTTATATAATTTAACATAAAACGAACTCCCATTTTTTGTGACCTCTTTAAAAATATCCTAGAGCAACAACCTATGAGTGTTGTTGAATTATGTGCATATTATTGTTACTTTGAATTCAAGGAAACACAGTATTTAACAAAATATTATTACTGTCATGATTACTGATTATGTATGAATCTTTTATTACAGTATGCTATAGATTTATTATAAATCTATTGTAGGATAGTCTATTGACCAGTTAGGAAATGAATGGTGAGCTATTGTGCCAAAGCAGCAAGCAAGAAAGTGTACTTAATGTATGCGTTTGTAATTTTCATTTTTATTATGAACCCTAGGATTTTTTCCATAATTTTGAGCTGCTTCTGTAATACCCCAGCGCCACAATCTCAATGACACTAAGTAACACAAAATCATTCAATTCATAATATTTTGTATTCTTTCCCCGATAGATTAAAATATACACTATTGAAATGACTGGGAAAAGTGTTATAAGGAAACACTTAGTTGCTTGCTGCTTAGCCTAAATAGTTCCACCTTTTATATAAATTAGACACATTGCACAAACTAAATTATTTATTCAGGGTTGATATATTCTTTTTTTAATCACAACAAAGAGAAATAATGTATATTTGTACTGCATTATTAAGGAAAACACTGAGAAGCTTATATGTGCTAGTAAATGTTTTCCAAATTAATGAAAACACTCTTTCAACTTCTGTATATTTTTAAGCTTCAATGTATTTTTTTTAGAAGTTTATATTTAACTAGATGAGTAGCCACAGTTGATATTTCCAAATGTCAAATTTTTTAGTTTTCCTTTCTTTGTAAGATTCCCTCATCTTTTTTTGTATCAAGATGGAGTAGTAGAAAGCCAAAAACTTTTTTTCCCAAAAAAAAGAAAATGTAATAGTTAGCAACTCATCATGTCATGCTTGTAAAATAGTTGAACGAGTGTTGTGTCTATATTAATGGTCTTGAAAAATGCATTGAAACTGTAAAATTTACATTTTATGCAGATGATACTGCCTTAATATCATCATTATTGAGAAAATGAATATCTCTGTATCTGTAGAGTAGGGAGGGTGAGTGTAAGCCCACGCACTTAGGCCACATGTGACCCATTGTACATCCTCCCGAGGAGTTGTCCTCCTAGGTCGTCGTCCATCCTGTCCTTTCCAGGAAGGTGGACAGGTCGCTGGGAGACATCTCCTTTATATCGGCAGGTGTAGGCCAAGACTCGCCGAACACACACTCTCTTATTGACGATAACTCCGGGCACTCGCACTGGACATGCCTGACAGTCTCATCTTCCTGTTTACACATCCTGAATAGAGGTGTGTCCACTAGCCCCATATTATGGAGGTGTTTCCTTAGTTGACAGTGGCCAGTCAGAAATCCTACTGTAAGGCGTAGATTTTTCCTGGTCATCGCCAGATATTTCTTCGGCGCCAGCTTCCCTGGGTGGCCCAAGTTGATCCTAATAAGATTACATCCTTTGATTTCATTCCATCTCTTTAAGGATTGAGCATGGGTGTAACATTTGACTAGATCCACAATTGTCGAAGTCATCAGGCTGTGGGTGCCACTGGGTTCTGAAATTCGTAGTCCAGCCGCTTCCTTGGCTAAAAAGTCGGCAATGCGATTACCTTTACTCTTGTCGTGCCCTTTAACCCACCTCAGGATAATGTTATTATCTACCCTGAGGTGAGAAAATTAATAATAAAATACTGAAGAAAGGCTGGTTTTGATAATATTCTGTACTTTATTTCCATCAAAACTAAATTTGATGTCTGTTGTAGTAGCAGACATCAGGTATGAAAACCTGCAGACCACAGCTAATGAACCCGGAAATATCGGACAATACGTTAGACACTGACTGCGAAATCCTACAAACCATGATCATGTTCTTCATAATTCTACTTAAACAAAACAAAATGCAATTGTATTCGTATTTGAAGTAGGTAGGTACATCAACTTGAAAATAAAAACTTTTAAAACAGCAACTGGTTGCCGTAAGTTTACCATATTTTTCACAATCGTATGGATTGCCACATCCCAAAAATTCAGAGAACAAACCACAATCTAACAACACTTTTACGTTCAGTGGCTCATGAACTTCAAGTGTGGATAAGTCCAACATGTTCTTCAGGACACTCCTTCAAAATGCCACATCCTCTGCAACTCAGGACTGAAATCATCATTTCATGATTTTGTCTATAGCCTTTTGATTTTCTTGTAAATAAATAACACTTTTTTATGTATGCTTGAAGCCAAATAAAACACCTGGCATTATGAGCACTAGTATCAATGACAAGAGTTAGAAACCAAATACTAAATGTGCGCAACCCAAAACTTTTGTTACTGCTTGAACACATGATTCTTATATATTTGAAAAAGAACTTCTAATCAAGCAGTTTGATCTAGAAATGCACACCAAGTTCACAAACAACGGTTGTAGATGTGAAATTCAATTCTTTCACCGTCTATTGATAATTTCACAAAGTTGGTTAATCATGTCTAGTTATTTTCTCAAAGCAAAAGCAAATCGGTGAAAATACCAGGGTTTCTATGCATCTTACCCAGAATGTTTTGTTTTTGTATTGAAAATATAGATATAAAAGATATAACTGAAAATTAAAGAAAAAAAATGTAAATTTCAACAATTTCTGTTAGAAAATAATACTAGAAAATCACAAATAAAAGTTAAAATGTATGCATAACGTCCAGTTTGTTTTCAAAAGAAAAAAAAAAGACATTTACCATAACCCTTGCAGTTGAAGAATTTGTTGCACTGGTGAAAGTATTGCATGAAATTACAATTCGTAGTTTGATCTGATGAGCTGATAGTGTTGACTTACGTTCCATCCAATCCCCTGACTGCATCTTCAGCATCTCTTGGATCTTCATATTCAACGAATGCAAAGCCTGGAGGGTTTCTTGCAACCCAAACATTTCTCAATGGTCCATATTTTCCAAATGCACTTTCAATTTCATGTTTACTAGCAGAAGACCCAAGGTTACCGACATAAACCTTACAGGAAAGGTCCCACTCACGGTAACGAGACATAGTTCCCCTGAAATTCAATTGAAATCGCATTTAAAATTTTAAATGTTAATTGAGGAGACAACTAGTTTTAAATATTAGAACTGTGGAATTTAGATTACTAGTTGGAAAATCAAAGGCATAGACATGCTAATAACGATGAGTGGGAAGGATATGATGATTCAAATGAATTCAAGTTTACAGGGTAATATCTCGTTCAGGATTAAACAATGGAATTCAGGAAAAAACAAATATTTTGGCAATAGTGATTGATAACCACTTATGGTTCTCATATCATCTTGAAAAAGCAAAGATAGAACCAATGTATCTAGTATAGTAGAATGAACAGCTATTACTGCTTAAATGTATATGTATGACTGCATTATTTATTTTATTCCTAATGTTTCTTTTAATAATCAATATTCAACTATTATAAAATCTTGACAGTACTGTATCTGCATACTTTCAAAATAAGTTTCAGCATTACTTTTATTTATTTGTATTCACACATTTTTTTACATTAAAATGAAATAAGTACATCCTTATTCAATTTTAATAAATGTTTGTACAGTAGCCTAACCTAAATTAATAAAATACCAAGTGCTACTATCTTTGGAAGTTTCTTTACTAAAATAACATAATTTACATTCCTTGAAGACTAGCAATGTGTTAACAATAAAAAAATTGGTTGATTACAAAATTTATACTCTTGATCCCTTCACTCAAAAGCATTACAGTTAACTTAAATTCGAATCTGATTCCACCTACTACTAGTGCTAAAATTATTGCACAGTTGAAATAATCAAGTGGTTATGGTAAACAATCATTCCAGTGCTATTTTATTGTATAAGCTACTGAACAAATTTTATAGCCACAACAAAATGAATGTACGCTTTCAAGTGGAAAAAAAGCAAGCCAAGCCCAACCCATTTCTGCCGAAATAAACGACACTCACCTGTTTCTAGATATTTTGAGTGATTATAAAGAATTGTAAAGGAAACGTTTCTCTCGATGCAACCGAATGAATATCGTGAAGAAATTTGCACTAAACACAAATACCCAAAATGAACACCAACAAAATGGCGCAAAATGGCGTGGCTTCTCAACCCTGCTCTCCTTTTCTCTTTTCAAATTCAAGATTCCAAGCACAGAATATATTATTCCGGGCATAGAATTATACTTTTCTGGTGGCACTCTGTATTCTCTTTCTCTGTTTGTTGGCCGTTGCTTCCGGGCAGGCGCATTTGGCCAGTAGATTTTTATCTTCTTCTTTTTTTTACTCCTCAGAGTAACCTGAGGGGATACTTTTTCCCTCCTTTCAAATGTAGCTATTACTCCGTTAATGAACAGTTGATACATATTTTGTTCGGGTATAGTTTTGATGGGATATTCTAAAAAAAATGTGGTTTATTGTTTCGGGTTGCCCGCATTCACAATTTGGACCATTGCTAGCCCTTATAGAGGAAATAAATGATTTTTTCAACTACAGTGCCCTGTATTCATTCTAATAATACTCATGTGTTTTCTGTCCATATTTATTATTTTCATGTATCACGATTTCATTAAATATTCAGGTTGGACCCTAAAATACATTTTGCCTTTATTTTGAATTTCGTGTTTCCATTGTGTGTGAAATAATATATTTATTATTCGTTTCAGGTGGAGCATGATGCTTTTGTTATCTATTTTTATATCCAGTGGAATATTGAAACGAGTGCCAATTTTTGCCAAAGTATCAGCCTTTTCATTATCTTCTATTTGTTGGTAACCTGGTATCCATGCTATTTTAAAAATTTTGTTGTTTGTAATTGTTCTTTATTTATCTTTCATATATAATGAAGTATAATCAGTATTTGATAATGTATTCGCATTTTCAATTCTTTCCATCGCACTTTTTGAGTCTGTAAATATTNATTCCCATTGGCGATTTGAAGTCAATGCGTTTTATTACATATTTACGTGCCAACATTTTCTTCTGTGTTCTAAATTTATTTCACCCGCTTCCGCAAGTATGACGTTCCTTGGTAGGAATTTCATAAATCCTAGTATAATTCTAAGTCACTATATGTACGTTTGTTCAGTTTTTTTTTTGATACATTGATTAAACGAAATAGCTCCATATTCTAAATGCCTTTTCACCAGGCGATTGTAAGTATGCCATTTTCATTCTTACCGGATCCGCCCCCCACCAAGTTCTGCAAACACAGTTTATTACATTTATTCCCATTTTTGATTTATGTACTATATATTCTATCCCATTCCAAATTATGTGTTATGATTTTTTCTAAATATTCATCATCACTTGATATTTTGATTTGAGTCTGCGCTATTTTATTATCCCATTGAATGTTGTAAATCATGCCCTAAAGAAAATAGCGTCGGCCGCCACTGGTAGCCATAAACCAATTGTGACGTGGCCAAGAGCGCGCCAGGCCGGCCGATGATTCGCGGCTGCTCAATGTTTGTACCGTTTCGATGGAATCTCCACGAACATTTCACCAGCTTCGATAGATTTCTGAGGAATTCTTCACCGGTTTCGAGATGGTTCGTTTGCCGCATATAAACGCTACCTATGAGCATAGCGATATAGTCAAGTTTCGCGGACAGTACGTTGCAGAGCGATTTAATAAGGCAATAGGTATTTGAATAATAGTTGAAGTTTTAGTTGAAGTGTTTTGTTATAAAAGGAGAATGAAAAAGTCAGTATATAACACAAAAAGTTACATATCATGCAATGTGCATATTTTATCGAAGCCACTGCACGTAAAATTCAATGGTGATCGTAGCATAACATTTGTGCGTGATGCTTCGCAATAGAACTTAAGATTGTGTCGACCTCCGCTTCTTGGTACTGAGAAATTGATCTTGGGTAAAAGAACCGTACTGTCAATATTGTTGTTAATTTATTTATGCAGGAATTTTATACCAAGGATAACTCTCCTATTTTCCAAAGATGTCATATCAAATCGTGTCAACAAAATGTTATGATCAATGCCTCTCGTGGGTTATTGTACATCAACTCTAACTTAGATCTGGCATACACAAAATATAGCAATTTTAAGGTGGCAATACTTTTTGAAGTTTTTGCCATTTCTGTAAATGAATCTAAGCATCCTATTTGCATCAGCAGTCATATTCCTTAAGTATATGTAAATGTTAATCATATATTATACCAAGATCTTTTATCTAGTGTACGCGGTTGATTGTATTATTGTTGATAGAACAATCGTACATTAAAGTTCTCTATTTTTTATGAATGTTATATGTTAAATTTGGATACGTTTAGTTGTAGACGATTATCGTTACACCAAAGTTTGATTACATCTAATTTATATTGTTCACGTTGGCAGTCAGCAATGTCGTCGATTATTTAATATAGTTTCTGCAAATAGTAGACTAGGATTATTCAAATCATTAATAAAAATTAAAAATATGGTGGCTTGCGGAGAATGAAAATCGTAGAAGGGAAGAAGATGAACGCAAAAGAGAGGAAGATCGAAAATTATTGGAAAAATAGGAAAGAGAGAGAGAGAACGATGGTAAATTATTGGTAAATATTCAGGATTTGTTGGTAAATATTCAGAAAAAACAAAAAAAAAGACAATCAGATGTACCTTCATTTATTGGAAGATTTGAAATCTTTCTAAGTGAGTGTAGAGGAGGTACAACTACCGGACTGAGTCATGGCTGGTGGGTGAAATCATATCTGCGTAAAGTTTGGGTCGGTGTATGACAAAGAAAGTGTTATGAAAAAAGGAATAGAAACTTTTATTTGCAATTTGGATGTTTACGGCTTAAATAATCTATCTAACAGACTGATAATAGATTTCTACACATCTACTGCACATCTTGAGAGAGGGGCTTTTCATCGGCCATGATTCAGTCCAGCATCTGTACACGAATTTATTCAGGGAGAATTTTGAAAAGTATTTCAGGAGACAAAGAAGGGATTGTAGAAACTTGAAGGAGTCGATACAAAATTTGAATAGGTTTTTCGGGAACTTCGGAAAGAATCACCGGAGCCAAAGAGGATTGCTGTGGAGACATGCAAAGCGGAAACAACATCTCTCCTTCTTGCAGTTTTATTAAAACTCCAACCTTGGATGGCGAATCTTCGTGGTCAATCTATCGCAGACAATTTCAAGCTGCTGCGGAATCTAATGGTTGGAAAAATGAGAAGAAAGCAACAGTTCTCATACTGGCACTAAGGGGCCTCCGAAATTCTGCAAAATATTCCAGTGAATAGATATAAGGAGTATGAAGCAGTCGTGTCAGCTTCGGAGGTCAGACATGGTAGTGAGCACCTTCTACAAGTCTACCAAGCTCAACTGAAAGTGAGAACTCAAGGTCCCTCCGAGAGTTTTCGGGAGTTTGGGGCTGAAGTCGAAAGGTTGGTACGACTTGCCTACCCAAAAGAACCTGATAACTTCACTCACTGAATTAGTGTCCATAGTTTCATCGACGGAGTTCGTGACACAGAGCTGTAGCAGTCGCTAAAGATGGCACGTCATAAAAATTGAATGAAGCCATCATTTATGTCCTAGAATTTGAAGCTGCTGAAAATGCTTCGTGACAACAACGAAAAGTTCTAGTGAGGGCCATCGTCGGAAAGGAAGACGAAGGAACAGATCCACTTATGGTAGGTCTACAGGAACTCTTTAAGAAATATTTGATGAATGGGACTACATTCAAGGCAGAGAAGGCCATTTAAGGCGGGACTGTCGATCACATTCAACATCCGACGAAAGAAGAGATTGGCGTTCGGGGTCACTCGCACTAGACCGCCGGGGTACGGAAAGCTAAATTCAGCCAGGGTTAGGGGGTACATTAGCTGCTGCATCCCAATCCCACAGGTATCCGATTTTCACGATAGGACGCTACAGTAACAGCTTAGTTGATTTCTGAATAATCACCAGTACCTCTTCACCGTCGATACTAAAGCAACGAGGTCAGTAATGGGAGCCGACATTTCCAACATAAGCAATTTTAAGAAGTTATCATTAGTACCCGTTATGAAAACAGCCACTGGAGATGAATCAACAGTCTATGGAGAAGCTGAAGTGAGACTTAGGTTTGGAAGGTGGAGATTATTCTGGAAGATTCCAGAATCTCTCCCAACACCAAGAAAATCATTCCCCTGAAGACACATTCGACCAGTGCACCGATCCTGACATACCCAAAGGAAGAGGGCTTATTTATACTACACACGGATGCGTCCCAACATGGAATAGGAGCAGTACTTCCTCAGGTACAAGTAGAAGAAGGAGTCGTCATTAGCTACTTCAGTAAGTCCCTGGGAATATCCGAAAGAAATTACTGCGTCACTACAAAAGAACACCTCGCAGTGGTCATAGCGGTGGATTACTACCACTCCTTTTTATATGTCCGTAACTTATTGATCAGGTCAGACCACTCAGAATTTTGGTGACTCTTCAACTTCAAAACCCCCCAGAAGGACAAATAGCCAGGTGGATAGAAACGTTACAAACTTATGATTTTGAAATTCTACATCGGAAAGGAAAGAGTGTCGAAAAATCAGATAGCCTCTGAAAAAGGCCATGCATGACAGCCGGATGAAAATTTTGTCAACGACAGAGGGGGGTCAAGGATACCCAGCTACCAGAAGGAGAACTTTCTACTTATGGTTTTGAAATTCAACATCGGAAAGGAAAGAGTCTCGAAAAATCAGATAGCCTCTGAAAAAGGCCATGCATGACAGCCGGATGCAAATTTTGTCAACGACAGAGGGTCAAGGATATCCAGCTACCAGAAGGAGAAATTTCTACCAGACGCTACCAGGTAGCGGGCAGAGACAACTTTATGGACAGCTCTGATAGGGAGATAAGCTTCCCTATCACCCGCCGCTTCGGGATCCCTCTGACCCGAAGAGTAGCAACCTGTAAGGGTCCCTTGTCCAGGGATAAGGACAGAAAATCTGAGAAATCACCTGACCATGGTGAGGTATGGTCGTTGACAGCCTCTGAGGATATGACACTACCTTCATGACGAGGCCAAACATCATGGCACCGCAGAAGGAGGATTTGATCTTGAAAACGGTACAAGAATGGATTGACAAAGAAGTGAGGCAGGAATGGCAAGATATTTTCAAGCACGGCCAGCAGGAAAGGGATTCCATGTGCATTTGAGATGACCTACTCACTC